AAAAGTGTATAATTAATTATAATAAAAGCCTGACAGTCTGTTTTACACAATAACCGTTTAATCTTCTTCAATTTAAATTTACCTTCATCGACAGTTAATTTTTCTTGTTTCATTACATAAAAGATGTACACATTATAATTGGTGGTAAATTATCATTTTTAATTAAATTCGTTTTTATTATTCATTATTGTTCAAGATAATACAAGTTGCTAAGTATTGCATTATGTCTTTATTATGTATTGTTTTTTTTATTAATTCTAAATAACTAAAACTAATTGCAGTATTTTAAATAATAAAATTGTATATTAATTCGAAAAACATCGACAATTATTTTATAACAAAAAAAAAATAACTTTTCACAACAAATTATCCCTTAAGTTTTGTTGAAAATCTTTCCTAAAAAGAACATTTTTAATTTTTAATAAGAAAATTTTCCATCCAACTGTGTACCTAAACCAACCAACTTAACAATACTCTATAGAACAACAGCTGCTACTATTTTTCGTTCACCACTACTTTTAATAAAAGTATTAAATTACTTAATTTTTTTATGACCAAAATCGTTAAATTATCGTTTTGTCAAATTTAAACTTAACAAATTTAACATTTCAATATTGACAATAAGACACTTTCAACGTGTTTACATCTACCGCATTAACTAATGAACAGGTTCCAAAAATCAGGGAATTTTTCCTCTTGAATTAACATGTTTGTGTAAACATATCAACCATTACTGTCAGCTCAAACTGTCTTTAATTAAATTTTTAACAACAACAAACATTAGTCTTACCAACTATTTCTACGAGTAGGTAAGGTTGGGCAAAATAAGGTGTTAATTTAAAATTATTTACTTTTCAATTAATATACTATCGTTGTTCAACCACCGTAGAAGTAGGTATTTGATAAGACTAATGTTTGTTGTTTTTAAAAACAAACCCATGCGATTGTACAGAATATTGTAATAAAATAACTGTGTCTTTTTGTTATTATTTCTATTTAAAAATGATTTCATTATTTGTTAATAAAAAAGTATTAACTATTGTGAAAACAATTTTATTAACTAATATAATACAAGGCAATTATATTATATTCAAACGTTTTCCAAGTTTTTAACTATCCCCGAGTATTAGAATAATAAAATTAATAATATAAAAATTTTTAATTTTCATTGATTTTTACAGCTTTACTGTCCGTCCTAATCGTAGAATACTCGTCTTGAAATTGCTTATTACTTGATAAAAAAAATTATAATAATAAGATATTAGCTCTAAACATATTATAATACAACTTTTCTTCTTGATTATTCCAATAATGTGTGAAAAAATAAATAGACTGTAAGGCAATTGCGATTCATTTGAAATTACATACTTTGATGAGTAACAAAACCAATCTGGTCATTTTGGTTGTATACAAATCCTAATTTTGAAAAATAACTGCTTTTAAACTCTTCAACGAGTATTTCGATTTGATCATCAAAATCCTTAACAATGTTGAATTCTGGTTCCAGTGGATGTTGACAACTGAATTCATACAATAGAGTAGTTAAATCTGGTCCAACTATTGTCGGTATTATGCAATGAGCATGTAGATATGGTTGTAAATCATTGTTCATATGACGATTGATGGCTCTGGTTAACACATTAGAAGATCTAATGTTAAAGTCGTCACTATTTTTGTCGATATTTGCAGGTGCTAATTTATTTGGATCAGTCGACAACACAAAAAAGGTGTTCGCAGAATCCTGAATATTCACTATGTCTTTAAAATCCTCGCTCAGTTGTATTCCAACTTGCAACGGAACCACTTCAAGTAGATAACGCAATGCACCTTTAATGTACTGAAACATTTGGTAACTACTTTGCAATACACGAATAGCAATCCTAATAATGTTCGCCGACACTGTATGGTTGATGTTTTTCTTAACTAGTGGTAATTCATAATTATCGGTAGTTGTTTTTTTCAATCGTTTAGTCTCTGGTTCTTCGTTAGCCATCGATTGCTCTTCGTCGGATTGCCCTTCAACGTTTAGTTCATCCAAGTCATCGTCTGCATTATTTTTTTTTTGCGAGCTCTTGGATTGTGACATTTTTCTCGACTTCTGTCTTTCTTTTCTATTCACCAATAAGATATTTTCAAACAAGCGACAAAATTTATACAACGTGTTGGCATAAACGCATCCTAGCAAGTGAACAGTCGTGTTGTATGTTAAAATAACGTTTTCCGCACTGTCAGAGTTTCCTTCATTTACCTTGGGGTCCTTGGACAAATCTTTTCTACTGAACAACGAGTCTACCGTGTGTTTCACTTGCAAGTCGGTAATTTCCTGCCATCCCGGATTGCTCAAAATTTCATTTAGCACGTCAGCCAATTTGTTTTCATTATCATCGGCGGCATAGGTACTTCCAATTTTATACAATATGAATATAGAAACAAGTACACTAATTAACACTTTGTGCGACATTTCAACCCGGTGATAGATTCGTTGTATAACGTTCAAAATAATAATTATGTTATATATTACCTAGTTCAAAGTACAACGCAGCATATAATAAAACGAACAACTAAAATGAGGTCTTTTGATTTTCTATCTGTACATTTTACAAAGAAATATTATTTGATTTTCCATTTTAGTGTAGCGATTGTGGAAAACTTAGTGACGGACAAGTTGTTGTCGACGAGACGTGTTATTCAGCAATGTGAACTATTTGATCAGCCGGTTAGGTCTTGGTAAAAGTGTTTTTTACATTTAGCTACAACACTTCAACGAAAAACACCCACAACACAATCGTCTAACATTATTTGAAAATAGTTTTTATTTTATTATAACTAAGGCTCCAACAACATTGGCTATTAGCTTCATATTTTCTTTCCATTTAATACTAAGTTATTTTAACGCATAAAGGTAATCACTGATGATGACTAAGTTATACATAGTAGAATATGTGCTGATTTTAACTGCTCCGTGGATAACATAGGGTTCGGCTATATATATATATATATATATATATATATCTTATAGTGTTAGTTTATGGGAGTATTTATGGTTTTTGTTGTATTTATCTATCGAAAAACCAGCTCAATTATATTTTCTCTGCATCAATGTATATTCGGTATTATTTATGGTTTCGTTTTAATTTAGGAAAGTTGAATACATTATTTAGTGTGATAAAGTAATTTTGGCATAATATAACTTGCTTTCGTCTGGTTCTGATGTACATATATTTTAAATATAAGTAAAACACATGTATCCATAAAATCAGTATAATAACAATTATTATACTTTTAAAATTTTATTTTAGTATTAATGTGGATACGATTATGATTAATTGACTGTCCATATTAATTTTATTATAGATAATATTTATAAACTTTTTTGAGCAAGTTGTATCTTACCTAACAATAACACTTAAGATATGTATGGTTTATTTTTTTTGTCACACATAGTAACAACTTTTTTTAAATGTATTTAACAAGCATTAAAGCATTTGATTTGAAGAAACTCTTGACCCGAAATCTATAGCAAACAGTATTATAATTAAAAACATTGTTTTGAGTTCTTTGACGAAAAATAAAACAAGTAGTCTAAGATTAATACATTGTTAGATTGAAGTTACATTGAAGTTGGAGGATGTCGTATGATTACATAAAACAAAAAAAAAACACATGTGGTTTGCACAACCATCACAGAATAACTCTATAGTTTAATATTGTAAATAAAAAAGTACTCAATATTTAATACTAAAATACTAATTTTGTTAAATATTATTTATTACATAACACCTTTGCCTAACCAAAACAATTATATTATAAGTGCGTCTAGAATATTACTCGAAGAAACTTGTTGTGCAAAAAGTATTGGTAACTAATAATTATTGTAATTACATATTTTATTTAGTTAGTTTTTTAGAGAAAAAATATTAAATGTCTAAAATTAAAACATTTGAGTTAATATGGTGTACTGTTTTTTTTTGTATATACTCATCACCAAAAGTGTACTTGTCCACCTAGACTTGATACTTATTTTGTTTTCATTTTGGTATCGTTTTCAGGCGAGTAGGAAATATTCGGTTTTTTTACATTCTGAAAATAAATGCTGGTAAATAATTTTTACCTCGTATATAATTTCCGTTTCATGATATTTCAACTTCAACTTACCTGAAGATAATCATCTAATTTTTGTCTAATCGTATTACAAGGAGTTTCGAACAACAAAACAATTAGTAAACTGCAAAACACTCCTAATAGTACATCACTTAGTATATATCGGACCTAAAAATAAACATTTTACTAATGTTAATTCCTCGAGATAATATAAATAAATTATCTATAAATGTATAGGTCAACAAATTTTACTAAATATAATTAAAATTTAAAACCATACCATAATCCACCAGTCGAAATGCACAAGTGTTTTATTGGAATACAATGATTGATCTTGAAAAAAAGTATGACATAAAAATAGACTATAAGTAAGTTTACTCATAGCAGAAATAAAATTGATATTATTTAACTTGCTGCTGTAACCTTTAGAATTTGAAGCTGAAAGTATAATTAAAAAAAAAAATGTAGTTTGATCATTTTGTAGAAAACTCAATTGGGTACATTGATAATAATATACCAAAGAAATTCCGCACAGCAAAATACAAATGGTCAATTTATCGTCAACCACTTAATATGTCAAAGGGTTTAATAAGAAATTTAATTTTTTTTCATATTGTTTTTATACAATATGATTTAAATTTTTTCCAATTTTTTTTTGGTTTTTGTCTTCTCCCTACTTAGTGTTTTGATATCAAATTTTATTAATTTAAATGGTAATGCAAACAATTTATTAAAAATCAAAAGTTAATGAATTTTGACTGGTTGAGAACCAGTTTGGAACAACTAGTTAAAAGATATAATAGATTAAAAGTTAGAACGGGAGGGAAAGTGCGCGTAAAAAAAGGAATAATAGATACACTTAAACTTTCCTCCTACAAAACTAAGACTAAGACTAACACTTAGTAACTTGTAACTTCAATAACTTCAAAAATAAATAACCTAAACTGGTTATCAACTGTAAACATATCGTAAAAACAAAAACTAATTTATTATGTTAACCCTATGAAATATTGTGCGGTTTAAGGCTATTGGATACCGAAAAACATTTCCGTCAAAAACAAAGTTAAATGGGTACATTTAACTTCAATTGTCCGATCATTGTATTGAAGAGATAAGTCTTCTGAAAACAAATTTGAATTCACGGGAAGTCTACTTGATATCAGTCAGAGTACGTTTTTCTTAAATAACCAAATACAAAACTCCTTAAAAATTGGCCGGTACCCAATAGGCTTAAGATAAAATGAATAACCCGTATAATATTTTATAATTAAAGGTTAACTATTTTTCTAAAAAATTGTTTAATAATATTTCGACAGAATAAATATAGCAAAATTACTATATTGCTTTTTAATAAGAATACCCTAATGATTTTAAAATTCCTATTAAATGTTAGAGAAGTTTACATTTTCGCTAAGATAAGGTTTTGTAATATATTCTTAATAACATTGTAACAAATCTTAAAATTTTAAAAATAATACGTTTCTTCAGTATATGTATAATATTATATATTTTTTAAAATTATCGATTTAATATTTGAAATAATTGTATACCAAATCCTGATAGTCTAAAAACAACCATAAAATATGACACACAAATAGCAGCAACGATCCTTTGCAGAGTAAAGTGTAGTACGTGGTGCCACGAGTTATATTCTATTCCAGGTAATAATAAGTAAGCCGATGAACATTGACTTAACATATACATTATAAAAGAACTGATAGAACCGATTGTCTTGTTTCGCTAAAAATTAAAATACGTGTTTAATTAAAAATCTATTTCATATTAGATACTTTTAAATATTTAGTATATTATAAGTGTACTCATTACTCACAGCGGATATTTTGTAATTGTCTTGTTTTAGTTTTGTATATATGTGTGCCGCTGCCATTCCGATCAGGTATGTTGTAATTCTCTGGTGACTCTTCATATATACAAATAAGAAGAATGGGTTTGATCGTAAACCCCTTATTACGCTGAAATAATTGTTTTTTTTTTTATATGTTATGTAACATATAATATTTATGTATATCCTGTTTATGTTAAAACGTAGGATCCTATATTTAATTATATGCGAGGCGCTCAGATGCTAAACCGATTATTTTCTTTTTTTTTCAAATTGCGAATAACAGCATGTTGGATTAAAAAAGTGTATAATTTTCAGTGGCCAAGATAAATAACTCCATAGTTCAATTTTTCACCACTAAAGTGCACTAAGAAAATTGGCAATTGTACTTACATACATTGTTTCAAATAACTTTAACTGCCTGTCCTGAAAAATTAAATTTTATGGAGTTAATCGGTTTGGCATATGAGTGCCTCAAATATAAGTCAGGCCGAAACGAAAATTCGTCTATGATCAAGATTTGGATGAGTAAAATAATTTTTGTTTGTTTGCGGCCTTAAGGGTATTAATTTTAATACTTCGTTGTTATAACAGTCGTTAAATTATTCGTATAAATCGTCCTTGCTGGCATGTAAACAGATAATGCAAATACTATGCCTAAAATCCATAGGCCAATATTTTTCCATTTCCATATTGCATACGTAAGAATAATTCCGATTGCATAAAAATGTACTTCACATGTTACATACCAGGTAATAGGTATACACTAGACAAAAAGGTTTTATTGATTAATAACACAAGTGTTATAGAAACAGGTAGTACATTGTATGTATCGGTGTTTTTATTAAATTCTGTTGAATATTAGCTTAATGTAAACGATTACACATTATTTCTTATTAAGGGGATTTCATGAGATGTATTTTAAGTTGTTCTGTATTTGCAGTATTTAAAAAAAAAAGAGGTTTAAATAAATTTTGACCATACTAATTGATTTACCCGTTAATTTATAAAATCTTCAATGTATGATTTGTAATTTAAATATTTTTTCCTATGAGTAACAGTCATTTTGGTTTATCTTAGACCAAAAAAGTAGACGAAATATCGACTACATTAAAAGATTCGATTTCAATTCTGTAAAGAGATTTGAGTTCTTTAATACTTTTTTGCTATGTAGAAAGCCAATTTTCATTTAAACATTTCGGTGTATTGTAGTTAATAAAAATTAAATTTACAATTTTTTCAATATTAAAACCCAATTTATTTACTTAAAAAAAAACCTAAAATCGGTTTCTTACATACCCAAGCAAAGTTCCTAAAAAAATCGTATTTAATTACAGAATTTCAATCGCACCATTCTAAGTTTTCGATATTTTGTCTAGCTTTTTAGCCTAAAACGTCAAAAAGTAGACCCCATGCAACCCCCTTTAGACATTACTTTGTTTGCTAGTACACGTTGTTGTAATTGAATATGTCAAATTATACAACTGTGTTTGGTTACAGTATGTTGATAAGAAGTTGTGCAATAGTCTACCACAATTTGTGTAACACATTTTTAATTTGTATTTATTCTATAAATGTCATTACCATTTTTTCAGAACCATCAACGTAAATATCAATAAATAAAAACTTTTTCCACACATTTATACGACAAAATTCTGATTGCGGAATTCCATATAATTTCCATAATGGACCATCTCCTATGTGAGGAAGAACACACATGTATAGCAAAAAAACTATTGTGTATGCTGGTAGAAGTCTGAAAAAATTGGAAGAAATAACACTTAAAAAGCAGTAAAATTTTCACGGCCCAATAACTAAATTTATTAAATTTAATTAACTAAAACATAATACCACCTTCTTGGTTTTCATGTGTTTTAACTTTAAATGATGTACCCCTTCAAATCAAACCATCCCATAAGTATCTTTTAAATCTTTTAATGATCGTTGATACTAAACCACCTGACGTGGTGTTATAAAATAATTGGGCAAACAGTAAAACGTCTTTCTAAAAAAAATTTAAATAAATTTAACATAAGCTTACCTTGTCATTCTATAAAAGATTAGATAGAAAAAGTTAAGTTTTTTTTCTTTATTTAATCGATTAATTATAGAAATGTACATCATAAAGCCTGAAATTACAAAAAATAGTTCCACACCAACGGGTGCATTCAACCAGGGACTACTCATTAACTAAAACATATAAAATATTTTACATTATTATTTATTGAAATATTGTTGACGCATACTCATACAGTATGAATAAGAAATCTTATTAGATTTCAAGATTATGGCGAAACCTTTTCACGAAAATATTTTTAATATATTACATGACTTAGCTGTATGAGTATCATAAAAACAAAACATTCATATTACGTTTTCCATAAAATAAGGGCTGTCTGTTGCAGAAACAAATGTACTATGATATATTCTATGTGCCATAACTACACAGATCGCTAAAAAAGATTTTAAACCATCAGCTACAGACAACTCATTTTTTCTTTGTGTATTAAATACAATTGTTGTGCTTTTTCTGATAGAAAAGGCCAGTAAAATATTTTCTAAACAAAAAGAAAAAAAATTATCAAACCAGTCATTACAATAAATAATCTGTTCATTTGTGTTATATAACTTACTTAAAATAGACCAATGAACATGTTGATCACCTATAATGTTCATTTCGTACAAAGTCCCAACTATATTTAACGTTAAGATCAGCACTAGAACCATGCTAAAAATTACATAATATTATTCAAAATGTTTGATATTGATTAATAGTAACTTATTTATATTTAACTGATAATCATATAATATATTGTAACCGAAACCTAACCAAAAGAAAATGAGGTATCCATCAGTATGTTTTGCGTCAGACGTTCTTTTTGATGTGTATAGAGCTGGATTAACAGAAACTCTGATTGTTAAATTAGAGTGTTTAAATATAGGTGTCAATAATTCTTCCATTGATATCTGAACGTCTTTGGCGTTACAAGAGTCCGGGATACATAATGCCCAATTTATGTTGTCAATTATTTGAGTATAATTCGAATAATTACCTTCGGTCTAAAACAAATAATTTAATTTAATATTTTAGAACCAAAAAAAGTATTTAAATGTACCATTGACAAATTTATGTTTATTATATTAAATTTGAGCTAACATAATTTTTTATCAGTCTGATTACGTCGGTACGTCTAAAGTGTTATAATCATATGATGATACAAAAGAGTCTATTTATTGGTATACAAATTGAATAATTTTTTCGCGAAAATTAATACAATATGCTTTTCAAGTTTTCAATTATATTAATAAACTGTTTATGTATCAATTTTAAAAAAACTATTAGCTAGTTCGGCATAAAATTCTATAAAAGGTTTAAATATGTTTACTTACTTTCACATATCTCCAAGCTGATGTGACGTTATTTCTTACTTTAGGCATATTGTCATTTTCTTCAGTAATTTGAAACTGAACGTTTGGTAAAACATACGCACTGTATATATTTAACTCTTTTGAATGCGCTCTCAGACACTGATCATAATATCCCATTTCGTATGTAATTCCAGACAAAAGGCCTCCTGGATATTTAGCTGAGGAATCATACACTAAAAGAATTCAAAAGTCCCAATGACTATTGTCAATATTAACTAAAATAGACAGAGGAAACTTTGGGGCGAACGAATAGGACGTGGTATTAAAATGTTTGAAAAATTAAAATGTAGTTATGTAGTAGCTAATATTATTGAGGATTCTTAAAACTTATAAATGTCTTAATTTTTTATATGAGTAAGGTTAAAATACTTAATGATACTTACTTTGAACGGCCCACGAGTCTTGTTTGATTAAGTGTTCCTTGTAAATTTTTCCATCCTCAGTACATTTTGGATTATCATAAGAAAACGGTACGAATCCGTCCATTTGCGTAGCAATAATATTACCTATCCACGTGTCACTAATGGAGTTTTTTTTACTGTTAAAAAGTTGGTTTTCCATCTCCCTCTCATAGTAATTAGCGATTGATTGTGAAGGTGTTGAGCTTGTATTTAAATTTTCAGATTGGTCAGATGATAGTTCGAAACTATTACTTATTGTATTGAAGCCTATAGCAAATAACAAAACCAAACGGATCTGCATTTCCTGTAATAAAAAAATTATATTTAATTTGATAAAAAAATTGATGCAATACATGTTTTTATATTGATTGAGTGTTGTATATATATTTTGGTTTTTAATGTATGTTTTCAATTTTTAGGCCTTTACAATATAGTGTAACTTATCTATTTATAAACGCAGGACTAAATATAAAATCACAACATAATATATATATATATATTAGGGTGATTAAAAAAAACCCTACTTTAGAATTTCGTTTCTTTAATCTCCTCATTTTTTTCTATGACATTGAAAATTAATTCTGTGAAAATTTGGGTTAGATTACTCAACCCCTTCACATGCCGCATAGGGGTTGAAGTTGACCAAAATAGGGTAGTTTGAGTTTTTTTGCATTTATTTAGAAATCTATAATAAATAGCATTAATATGATTGAATAAAATTTGTATAACTAACTATTTCTTCGGTATTTTTTTTAAGAGGGGTGCTAGTTGTTTTGGAACTCTGCCCTTCAGACCTACTTAATTGAGCTTTCATACACAATATACGATTTTGAATATAATGTTTTTCAATTTTTTCTCATACTGGCAGATATGCTTGATGAATTGAAAAAAAAATAATTTTTTCGCCATTTTAGTATATTAATACTATCCGGATAGTCCGGATAGTATTAATATACTAAAAACCAAAGTTTAGGTTAAAGATAAGTGATCTGTTATACATACACATTGTAATTAATATAGTTTCCAATGTTATAATTTACATTTTTTTTTTTTTTTTTAACTATTATTTAAACTACAAACACATAATATACTTTACCTTGGTATATTTCCTTAATCGTTTATAATACTAATACTGTTTACTTTAAGAATAATGAAAGAAGTTAAATTAAAAAAATTAAGTTGTTACCGTATTATTTGGGAAATTTGAATTAAATATTTATTACATTAGTGTATTAACACAAAAAAGTTAATTTATTTATAAGGGAAAGAGATTTTTTAAAATGTAATAGTATGATTACATTTATACCATAATTGGTATCCAACATAATTCCAAAATTTTATACATAAAACACTTTTTGTTTTACAAGTATTTAACGATGCGTAAAATCTTTAAACTCGTTTTTCTCAAAACTTAGTTTTTTGAGTTACAACACTGTAACTAATGTTCTGATGGTGCGATATATTAAAAAAAGGTTTAATACTTACGATTTAAAACTTGTGCAAGTCGGTCATGAAACGTTTCTGTAATCGTACTAAAATAGTTTAAATGAAATGGTGTATTGTATAGTTCACACGTTGACCATCAATTTAATTTAAAGTTTTATTTAATTTAAATGTTCTTAATTAGTTTGTATATTATACATTGTTTTGCCCGATTAACTGTATTTCAATATATTATTACATATTTATGCATACATGCATAATGCATATATTGCATTATTTACAAAGGCCGAGTGAGTCGCAAAGAATTCTCACAATAGTTATGTGTAAACATTTATTTACATAAAATACAATTTAAAAATATAGCTGAACTTATCATATGCGAGAACTTTATTAAGAAACAATTATTATTTTATATCGTTAATATTATCGGTTTGTGTTAACTATCTTATCTCTAACTTGTCTATCTGAGTTTATCTGGAGGTTAAAAGTATATTTTAGAAATTTAATAAGACTCTCTCCTTCTGTACTGATTTTGACGTTAAAATTTCCACTGATTTACCAAAGAAGAATGTGATAGTTATTTTTCAAAATACCTGACGCCTCTTCTGTGTATGACAGTAGTACAAAGTGGAGAAAATCTATTACTGATTGTACATGTTGGTTTATGGAAATGTATACAACAATCATAAGTATTGTTTGACCATTTAGTATACACATGGCTGATAGGCCTAATGGCGCTCTTCATATTTTTTTGTTATTTGAGTGTGTTAGGCATAGCTTAAATGTTACAAAAGTTTTTTTTTGGGTGAATCAGAAATCGGAACTCCAATTTATTTATTTTACGTTACGACCTAAATATATAAATATATCTTTTTTTGACTATTCTTATTACTTTTTTTTATTTGAATATCAATTATATGTAGTTGTAAATTGTTTAAATTTAATCACACAAAGAAGTTATAAAAGAAAAGAGAGAAATAAAAACCATTTAGTTAAATTGGATACAATTTTATTACTTAAATTCAATATATCAATTATAATCAACAAAAAAAATTTTTTTGGTTTTGTTACGGCATAAATGATCTTTTTTTATAATTGTGTAATCTATTGATATATTCAATGTTTATAAATAATTACTAATTACCTATTCATTTTATATTACGATCTATATAACGTATAATATATTATAAAATATTATATTAAGTGTATTATATACTTGCATTTTCAGTTCTCACGCTAGTATGCTTTACTTAATTATTACAATATTATTTTTGTTTAAAATATTTTAATTTGTTTGATGATTCCCATCCAGAACTCCATCCTCGTCCCCACCCCCATTTTCATCCTCATAAGAAGGATGTATAAGGACAAATTTTCGATGTCGGTGTCGTGTCGTTTTTCCGTGTGTGTGCAAAAGCAAAGACATAAAAATTTCAAAAAAATTTTAATTTAGTTTACTTGGCTGGAAGTCGAGTTTATTTTCCTGCTATAGTTTTCCTACTATATTCCTACCTTATCAAGTGCTTTCTTCACAAATCACAACACTCCGATTTCCGACCAAGTAAACTAAATTTCCATTTTGTCATGACTGGATTATTAAAATGTTGGCAGATTATTATTTGTTGGCAACGATGTATAATACATACTATATTACATTATGTTATTTACATAGTTTCTATAGTAATATCACGTATTTTAAAGCTTATGTTGAAACACTAATTTTGTTTTTACTTTAAATTAAAAAAATGTATTGTTGGGATCAAATTATCGGGGCACATAGAACTTAAAGTATTTCTGTATCTACCTAACTATATATATTATGAAATGTACATGTAATATGTGACTAATAAAAATCATGATAAATTAGTGTTGTAATTTGGATTCGAATCTTTGAAGGATTCGAATACCTAACTTTTAAAGATTCGAATGTTCGAATATTACAATAACTATTCTTATATTCGAATAGTTGAAAAAAACAATTGTAAATTAATTATTATTACTATTTGAATATTCGAAGGATTCGAATCCTTATTGACATTCGAATCCCGAATATTCGAATTCAAACTATTCGAAAATTCGAATATTTCCTATCACTAAATAAATAACGTAATCGAAAATGATGTTTTATACTTCAGTATACACAAAATCAAAGTTATCTTAAGAAAAAATAAGTGTCTCAACAATATGATATGTGTTATAGTCTTGTGATTTTAGTGTTAAGGTAAATTTCCATTGTAGCAATACACAAACAACAATCAATTAAAGTTGTTTTATTTTAAAAGTTTTAAATATTTGACTTTTAGGATACTTAAACGCGTTCAACCGAATACAATATACATGCACAGATAATCCAACGCCAACCAGATCATCGAGATGTGCATTATCGAGCAAATTTCACAAAGTCAATTCCGCGATTGGACTATACCCAAAAACGGCCGGTGTTTAATAAGAATGTGTGGTAAAAAAGCTGGGACACAGCAGGACGACATTCGTAGATATACCGAATTAATTACCGAACCACAAGTCTACAGCAAATCTTATAATTATAGAAAATCATAAAATCGTTGTAATCACAAACACGGAGTTGAAATTATGTTTTGATTATTGGCGAGGATACGATTAGTGTAGATTGTCTGTCTATGACTAAACATTTTTACCATTATTGCCCATATACCGTTACATAAAAACACAATAAGTACTATGTATGACAGGAAGACCTAATCATTTGAAAAGGCCTATATAAAAACTAAATTGTATAATGAAACCAGTTCATAGCGAGTTTCTTTTAAAGTAAAGTTCAATAATAATTAACTATTTCACCAAAGATATTGTTATATGTTCTTACTTCACCAACAATAATACAAAAAAATATAAGTCTTAGTAGTATGTTTTGTTATAACTGTTCTCATTTATTATTTAGTTAACATAATCAATTGAACAAAGTGTACTCAGTACAAATACCTTAAAAAAGTTATTTCCTACAGTATTGTATGCTATGTATATAATTTAATCATATAACACCATCTTAACTTAAGGAATAATAATAAAAACCCACAAGTCACCACTGAAACAGTAATTTAATATTATGCAAATAATATTTATAAACATTTGTTAGTTATCATAATCGATTGAACATAATATTGTACTATTAATGAAAACAGATACTGCATGTAAATTATTTTCTGAACAAAACACAATAACGTGTGAAAAAAAAATATACTGTAATGCAATTGCGATTCATTTAAAATTACATACTTTGATGAGTAACAAAACCAATCTGGTCTATTTCGTTGTACACAAATCCTAATTTTGAAAAATAATTGCTTTTAAACTCTTCAACGAGTTTTTCGATTTGATCTTTAAACTCGAAAACTATGTTGGGTCGTGGTTTGAATGGAGGATGACAACAGAATGTCAGTATTATGCAATGATCGTGTAGATATGGTTGTAAATCGTTGTTCATATGACGATTGATGGCTCTGATTAACACATTAGAAGATCTAATGTTAAAGTCGTCACTATTTTTGTCGATATTTGCAGGTGCTAATTTATTTGGATTAGTCGACAACACAAAAAAAGTGTTCGCAGAATCCTTAATATGTACTATGTCTTTAGAATCCTTGCTCAGTTTTATTCCAACCTGCAACGGGACCACTTCAAGTAGATAACGCAATGCACCTTCAATGTACTGAAACATTTGGTAACTACTTTGCAATACATGAATGACAATCTTAATAATGTTCGCCGATACTGTATGGTTGATATTTTTCTTAACTATCGGTAATTCATAATTATCGGTAGTTGTTTTTTTCAATCGTTTAGTCTCTGGTTCTTCGTTAGCCATCAATTGCTCTTCGTCGGATTGCCCTTCAACGTTTAGTTCATCCAAGTCATCGTCTGCATTATTTTTTTTTTGGGAGCTCTTGGATTGTGACATTTTTCTCGACTTCTGTCTTTCTTTTCTATTCACCAATAAGATATTTTCAAACAAGCGACAAAATTTAAACAACGTGTTGGCATAAACGCATCCTAGCAAGTGAACAGTCGTGTTGTATGTTAAAATAACGTTTTCCGCACTGTCAGAGTTTCCTTCATTTACCTTGGGGTCCTTGGACAAATCTTTTCTACTGAACAACGAGTCTACCGTGTGTTTCACTTGCAAGTCGGTAATTTCCTGCCATCCCGGATTGCTCAAAATTTCATTTAGCACGTCAGCCAATTTGTTTTCATTATCATCGGCGGCATAGGTACTTCCAATTTTATACAATATGAATATAGAAACAAGTACACTAATTAACACTTTATGCGACATTTCAACCCGGTGATAGATTCGTTGTATAACGTTCAAAATAATAATTATGTTATATTACCTAGTTCAAAATACAACGCAGCATATAATAAACGAACAACTAAAATGAGGTCTTTTGATTTTCTATCTGTACATTTTAGATTGTGGAAAACTTGGTGACGGACAAGTTGTTGTCGACGAGACGTGTTATTCAGCAATGTGAACTATTTGATCAGCCGGTTAGGTCTTGGTAAAAGTATTTTTTACATTTAGCTACAACACTTCAACGAAAAACACCCACAACACAATCGTCTTACATTATTTGAAAATAGTTTTTATTTTATTATAACTAAGGCTCCAACAACATTGGCTATTAGCTTCATATTTTCTTTCCATTTAATACTAAGTTATTTTAACGCATAAAGGTAATCACTGATGATGACTAAGTTATACATAGTAGAATATGTGCTGATTTTAACTGCTCCGTGGATAACATAGGGTTCAGCTATATATATATATATATATGTGCTATAGTGTTAGTTTGTAGGGAGTATTTATGGTTTTTGTTGTATTTATCTATCGAAAAACCAGCTCCATTATATTTTCTCTGCATCAATGTATATTCGGTATTATTGGGATATTGTTTCGTATAAATTGCCAACTTCCTATTACAGAGTTATTTGTGTTGTACTTTCAGTATTAAGGTTAGGTTTGGTTTAGTATTTTTTCGTGTAAAAGTGGGTTCTCGCTTATTATTCTAAAGTTTTCGAAGATTGGGCAATAGTTGCATATTGAGTTAGGGGGAAATATAGTGTACATATTGAAACTTCAATAACTTGAATATTCAAGTTTAGGGCTTGAGGAAAGGTGAAGTATAGTATTGTCTTGATCTGCGCGCATTTCCCAACCGTACTTCCCCTCCCATTCTAATTTTAAAACTTTAATAACTTTCAAAATAATTATCTGGAACTAGCTATCGACCAGTCAAAATGTTTAGTACACTATTCTCAATTTTAAAAGTTAATAAACTATATACGTTACCGTATAAGTTTTAAAAGTTGCTATCAAAAAAACTAAGTTGAGAGGGGGGAAAAACAAACAAAAATGTGAAAAATTGAGATTACATTGTATAACAACAATATAAAAAAAAATATTTTAATTTCTTATTAAATCCTATGAGATATTGAATGTTTCACGATAAGTGGATCACCCTGTATAGTTTTGTTTAAAAACCAAACTACAAGTCCACGGTAAGTTAAATATTTTTTGTTTCTTATTTCGTAACTACGAAACATTTCTTATATGAATAAAATTAAATCTAAAGTTTATTCAGTCACTTTGAACTTGGTATTTAGTCAGCAAAATTTATTTCTTTTCGATTAATCATAAGAAAACTGTTTACACTGTTAATCAATAGTAGCCTATTAAAATAAGTAAACACTAAAATTTCAGAACTCTAGACCAACTCTAAGTACTCTAATTGTAAGTACTTTTTTTTTGTTTGTTATTACCAAGGAAAATTGTAATTTTTTATTAAAACGATTGTAATTTGAAAACTAATGGAGTTTTTCTTAATTTGAAAAACAATTAGCATAGAATTAAAAAAAAACTATCACTATATTGACCAACTATTACTACAGTTAAAAGTTAATATAATAATTACTTCAAAATATATGATTTTGTTTTGTTTTAGTTGCTTCAATTGCATTTGTTGTCGAGCAGTTTAAACGGTGATTTACAAAACTCGTTTATGGTTTCATTTTAATTTAGGAAAGTTTAATACATTATTTAGTGTGATAAAGTAATTTTGGCATAATATAACTTGCTTTCATCTGGTTCTGATGTACATATATTTTAAATATAAGTAAAACACATGTATCCATAAAAGCAGTATAATAACAATTATTATACTTTTAAAATTGTATTTTAGTATTAATGTGGATACGATTATGATTAATTGACTGTCCATATTAATTTTATTATAGATAATATTTATAAACTTTTTTGAGCAAGTTGTATCTTACCTAACAATAATACTTAAGATATGTATGGTATATTTTTTTTGTCACACATAGTAACAACTTTTTTAAATTTATTTAACAAGCATTAAAGCATTTGATTTGAAGAAACTCTTGACCCGAAATCTATAGCAAATAGTATTATAATTAAAAACATTGTTTTGAGTTCTTTGACGGAAAATAAAACAGGTAGTCTAAGATTAATACATTGTTAGATTGAAGTTACATTAAAGTTGGAGGATGTCGTATGACTACATAAAACAAAAAAAAACACATGTGGTTTGCACAACCATCACAGAATAACTCTATAGTTTAATATTGTAAATAAAAAAGTACTCAATATTTAATACTAAAATACTAATTTTGTTAAATATTATTTATTACATAACACCTTTGCCTAACCAAAACAATTATATTATAAGTGCGTCTAGAATATTACTCGAAGAAACTTGTTGTGCAAAAAGTATTGGTAACTAATAATTATTGTAATTACATATTTTATTTAGTTAGTTTTTTAGAGAAAAAATATTAAGTGTCTAAAAATAATACATTAGAGTTAATATGGTGTACTGTTTTTTTTTGTATCTACTCATCACCAAAAGTGTTCTTGACCACCTAGACTTGATACTTATTTTGTTTTCATTTTGGTATCGTTTTCCGGCGAGTTGGAAATATTCGGTTTTTTTACATTCTGAAAATAAATGCTGGTAAATAATTTTTACCTCGTATATAATTTCCGTTTCATGATATTTCAACTTTAACTTACCTGGAAATAATCATCTAATTTTTGTCTAATCGTATTACAAGGAGTTTCGAACAACAAAACAATTAGTAAACTGCAAAACACTCCTAATAGTACATCACTTAGTATATATCGGACCTAAAAATAAACATTTTACTAATGTTAATTCCTCGAGATAATATAAGTAAGGTCAACAAATTTTGCTAAATATAATTAAAATTTAAAACCATACCATAATCCACCAGTCGAAATGCACAAGTGTTTTATTGGAAAACAATGATTGATATTGAAAAAAAGTATGACATAAAAATAGACTGTAAGTAAGCTTACTCATAGCAGAAATAAAATTGACATTATTTAACTTGCTACTGTAACCTTTAGAATTTGAAGCTGAAAGTGTAATTTAAAAAAATAATGTAGTATGATCATTTTGTAGAAAACTCGATTAGGTACATTGATAATAATATACCAAAGAAATTCCGCACAGCAAAATACAGATGGTCAATTTATCGTCAACCACTTAATATGTCATAGGGTTTAATAAGAAATTTAATTTTTTTTCATATTGTTTTTATACAATATGATTTAAATTTTTTCCAATTTTTTTTAGTTTTTGTCTTCTCCCTACTTAGTGTTTTGATATCATATTTTATTAATTTAAATGGTAATGCAAACAATTTATTAAAAATCAAAAGTTAATGAATTTTGACTGGTTGAGACTAACACTTAGTAACTTGTAACTTCAATAACTTCAAAAATAAATAACCTAAACTGGTTATCAACTGTAAACATATCGTAAAAACAAAAACTAATTTATTATGTAAACCCTATGAAATATTGTGCGGTTTAAGGCTTTTGGATACCGAAAAACATTTCCGTCAAAAACAAAGTTAAATGGGTACATTTAACTTCAATTGGTCCGATCATTGTATTGAAGAGATAAGACTTCTGAAAACAAATTTGAATTCACGGGAAGTCTACTTGAGATCAGTCAGAGTACTTTTTTCTTAAATACTGCCAATACAAAACTCCTTAAAAATTGGCCGGTACCCAATAGCCTTAAGATAAAAAGAATAACCCGTATAATATTTTATAATTAAAGATTAACTATTTTTCTAACCATTTTTAAATGATATTTCGACAGAAATAAATATAGCAAAATTATTATATTGCTTTTTAATAAGAATACCCTAATGATTTAAAAAATTCCTATTAAATGTTAAGAGAAGTTTGCATTTCCGCTAAGATAAGATTTTGTAATATATTCTTAATAACATTGTAACAAATCTTAAAATTTTAAATCTAATACGTTTCTTCAGTATATGTATAATATTATATATTTTTTAAAATTATCGATTTAATATTTGAAATAATTGTATACCAAATCCTGATAGTCTAAAAACGATCATAAAATATGACACACAAATAGCAGCAACGATCCTTTGCAGAGTAAAGTATAGTACGTGATGCCACGGGTTATATTCTATTCCAGGTAATAATAAGTAAGCTGTTGAACTACGACTTAACACAAACGTTATAAAAGAACTGATAGAACCGATAGTCTTGTTTCGCTAAAAATTAAAATACGTGTTTAATTAATAATCTATTACATATTAGATACTTTTAAATATTTAGTATATTATATGTGTACTCATTACTCACAGCGGATATTTTGTAATTGTCTTGTTTTAGTTTTGTATATATGTGTGCCGCTGCCATTCCGATCAGGTATGTTGTAATTCTCTGATGACTCTTCATATATACAAATAAGATGAATGGGTTGGATCGTAAACCCCTTATTACGCTGAAATAATAGATTTTTTTTTTATATGTTATGTAACATATAATATTTATGTATATCCTGTTTATGTTAAAACGTAGGATCCTACATTTAATTATATGCGAGGCGCTAAGATGCCAAACCGATTAACTTCTTTTTTTTTTCATATTGCGAATCACAGGATAGTTCGATTAAAAAAGTGTAAATTTTTAGTGGCCAAGATATATAACTCCATAGTTCAATTTTTCACCACTAAAGTGCACTATGAAAATTGGCAATTGTACTTACATACATTGTTTCAAATAACTTTAACTGCCTGTCTTGAAAAATTAAATTTTATGGAGTTAATCGGTTTGGCATCTGAGCGCCTCAAATATAAGTTAGGCCGAAACGAAAGTTCATCTATGATCAAGATTTGGAAGAGTAAAATAATTTTTGTTTGTTTGCGGCCTTAAGGGTGTTAATTTTAATACTTCGCTGTTATTATAGCCGTTAAATTATTCGTATAAATCGTCCTTGCTGGCATGTAAACAGATACTGCAAATACTATGCCTAAAATCCATAGGCCAATATTTTTCCATTTCCATATTGCATACGTAAGAATAATTCCGATTGCGTAAAAATGTACTTCACATGTTACATACCAGGTAAGAGGTATACACTAGACAAAAAGTTTTAATTGATTAATAACACAAGTGTTATAGAAACAGGTAGTACATTGTATGTATCGGTGTTTTTATTAAATTCTGTTGAATATTAGCTTAATGTACACGATTACACATTATTTTTCATTAAGGGGATTTCATGAGATGTATTTTAAGTGGTTTTGTATTTGCAGTATTTAAAAAAAAAAAAAGTTTTAATAAATTTTGACCATACTTATTGATTTACCCGTTAATTTATATAAGCTTCAAGGTATTATTTATAATTTAAATATTTTTTCCTATGAGTAACAGTCATTTTGGTTATCTTAGACCAAAAAGGTAGACGAAATGTCGACTACATTAGAAGATTCGATTTCAATTCTGTAAAGAGATTTGAGTTTTTTGATACTTTTTTGCTATGTAGAAAGCCAATTTTCATTTAAACATTTCGGTGTGTTGAAGTTAATAAAAATTAAATTTAAAATTTTTTCAATATTAAAATCCAATTTATTTACTTAAAAAAAAACCTAAAATCGGTTTCTTACATACCCTAGCAAAGTTGCTAAAAAAATCGTATTTAATTACAGAATTTCAATCGCACCATCCTAAGTATTCGATATTTTGTCTAGCTTTTTAGCCTAAAACGTCAAAAAGTAGACCCCATGCAACCCCCTTATGACATTACTTTGTGTGCTAGTACACATTGTTGTATTTGAATATGTCAAATTATACAACTGTGTTTGGTTACAGTATGTTGATAAGAAGTTGTGCAATAGTCTACCACAATTTGTGTAACACATTTTTAATTTGTATTTATTTTATAAATATCATTACCATTTTTTCAGAACCATCAACGTAAATATCAATAAATAAAAACTTTTTCCACACATTTATACGACAAAATTCTGATTGTGGAATTACATATAATTTCCATAATGGACCATCTCCTATGTGAGGTAGAACACACATGTATAGCAAAAAAACTATTGTGTATGCTGGTAGAAGTCTGAAAAAATTGGAAGAAATAAAACTTAAAAAGCAGTAAAATTGTCACTGCCCAATAACTAAATTTTTTAAAGTTCATAAACTTAAACATAATACCACCTTCTTGGTTTTCATGTGTTTTAACTTTAAATGATATACCCCTTCAAATCAAACCATCCCATAAATATCTTTTAAATCTTTTAATGATCGTTGATACTTAACCACCTGACGTGGTGTTATAAATAATTGGGCAAACAGTAAAACGTCTTTCTAAAAAAAATTTAAATAAACTTACCTCGTCATTCTATAAAAGATTAGATAGAAAAAATTAAGTTTTTTTTCTTTATTTAATCGATTAATTATAGAAATGTACATCATAAAGCCTGAAATTACAAAAAATAGTTCCACACCAACGGGTGCATTCAACCAGGGACTACTCATTAACTAAAACATATAAAATATTTTACATTATTATTTATTGAAATATTGTTGACGCATACTCATACAATTTCAAGATTATGGCTAAACTTTTCACGAAGATATTTTTAATATATTACATGACTTAGCTGTATGAGTATCATAAGAACAAAACATTCATATTACGTTTTCCATAAAATAAGGGCTGTCTGTTGCAGTAACAAATGTACCATGATATATTCTATGTGCTATAACTACACAGATCGCTAAATAAGATTTTAAACCATCAGCTACAGACAACTCATTTTTTCTTTGTGTATTAAATACAATTGTTGTGCTTTTTCTGATAGAAAAGGCCAGTAAAATATTTTCTAAACAAAAAGAAAAAAAATTATCAAACCAGTCATTACAATAAATAATCTGTTCATTTGTGTTATATAACTTACTTAAAATAGACCAATGAACATGTTGATCACCTATAATGTTCATTTCGTACAAAGTCCCAACTATATTTAACGTTAAGATCAGCACTAGAACCATGCTAAAAATTACATAATATTATTCAAAATGTTTGATATTGATTAATAGTAACTTATTTATGTTTAACTGATAATCATATAATATATTGTAACCGAAACCTAACCAAAAGAAAATGAGGTATCCATCAGTATGTTTTGCGTCAGACGTTCTTTTTGATGTGTATAGAGCTGGATTAACAGAAACTTTGATTGTTAAATTAGAGTGTTTAAATATAGGTGTCAATAATTCTTCCATTGATATCTGAACGTCTTTGGCGTTACAAGAGTCCGGGATACATAATGCCCAATTTATGTTGTCAATTATTTGAGTATAATTCGAATAATTGCCGTCGGTCTAAAACAAATAATTTAATTTAATATTTTAGAACCAAAAAAAGTATTTAAATGTACCATTAACAAATTTATGTTTATTATATTAAATTTGAGCTAACATAATTTTTTATCAGTCTGATTACGTCGGTACGTCTAAAGTGTTATAATCATATGATGATACAAAAGAGTCTATTTATTGGTATACAAATTGAATAATTTTTTCGCGAAAATTAATACAATATGCTTTTCAAGTTTTCAATTATATTAATAAACTGTTTAAGTATCAATTTTAAAAAAACTATTAGCTAGTTCGGCATAAAATTCTATAAAAGGTTTAAATATGTTTACTTACTTTCACATATCTCCAAGCTGATGTGACGTTATTTCTTACTTTAGGCATATTGTCATTTTCTTCAGTAATTTGAAACTGAACGTTTGGTAAAACATACGCACTGTATATATTTAACTCTTTTGAATGCGCTCTCAGACACTGATCATAATATCCCATTTCGTATGTAATTCCAGACAAAAGGCCTCCTGGATATTTAGCTGAGGAATCATACACTAAAAGAATTCAAAAGTCCCAATGACTATTGTCAATATTAACTAAAATAGACAGAGGAAACTTTGGGGCGAACGAATAGGACGTGGTATTTAAATGTTTGAAAAATTAAAATGTAGTTATGTAGTAGCTAGTTTTATTGATGATTCTTAAGACTTATAAATGACTTGATTTTTTATATGAGTAAGGTTAAAATACTTAATGATACTTACTTTGAACGGCCCACGAATCTTGTTTGATTAAGTGTTCCTTGTAAATTTTTCCATCCTCAGTACATTTTGGATTTTCATAAGAAAACGGTACGAATCCGTCCATTTGCGTAGCAATAATATTACCTATCCACGTGTCACTAATGGAGTTTTTTTTACTGTTAAAAAGTTGGTTTTCCATCTCCCTCTCATAGTAATTATCGATTGATTGTGAAGGTGTTGAGCTTGTATTTAAATTTTCAGATTGGTCAGATGATAGTTCGAAACTATTACTTATTGTATTGAAGCCTATAGCAAATAACAAAATCATACGTGTCTGCATTTTCTGTAATAAAAAAATTATATTTATTTTGATAAAAAATTGATGCACTACATGTTTTTATATTGATTGAGTGTTGTATGTATATGTATGTTTTCCATTTTTAACCCCTTTAAAATATAATGTGACTTATATATTTATCAACGCAGAACTAAATATAAATTCACAACATAATATTGTACTAAATATTTTATGTTGTCAAGTGATTTTATCACTTTCAGATTTCAAAATTCCTGTAGACTTGTGACCTCCCCGTCCCCACTATGACCCGACCCCACTGTACTGATTTTTTTTTTCGCCAAAAAATAGTAGCCTAAAGAACACATAATCAATGTATTATTAATTTTAGTTGGGATGGTCGATAATTCATGTTTCAATTGTTTGTACTCCATAATTTAAATTATAATCTCTAATACTTAAAAAAAGTAATATTTATGTGTTATATAATTCCATTAGAGCAATCTCTCACTAACTATTTATATTCCATAGATTTATTTTTCCGTCACAACTATAACCCGACCCCACTGTACTGTTTTTTAAACTTTTTTAATTTAAAATAATATACTAACAATTTTGATTGGCCTATAATCAGTTTTGGGTAACTAATTTTTAAGTTTAAGGCAGCAATTTCCAACCACACTACCCCTCCCATCCTAACTTTTTAAGTCTTATATATAAAAAAAATGTTTAATACTTACGATTTAAAACTAGTGCAGCAAGTCGATTATGAAACGTTTCTGTAACCGTACTGAAATAGTTTGAAAGAAATGGTGTGTTATATAGTCCACAGGTGGACAGTTAACAGTCAAATTAATCAAATATGGTAATTTTTTTCTTAATTAGTTTGTATTATACACTGTTTGGCCTGAGTAAATTCAAATTAAATTTATTATCACATACGATGATAATATATAAGCCATTGTTTGTATGTTTAGCCATTCATTGATTTATACATCTAAAGCATTATTTACAATATTTATGTGGGAATATACTACTGTACAAACTACGTGGGAACCTTTATTAAAGTCTTGTGTGATTTTTCAAAGACGATAGCTAATTATTTATTTTTCAAAGTTAAATCAATATGACATTATTCGATTGGGATATATATATATATATTAATAAATTTGTATTATTATTAAAATAAGAAATTATATCTTTAGGACATAGTAAAGGTTATATTTTATACAAAAAACATTTGACACTCTAATGCGGTGATCGATTCGTTGTATAACGTTAAAAATAATTAAATATTACCTACTTCAAATTACAACAATTTATAATAAAACAAGTTGTCCCGACCCGGCGTTACCCTTGTATTAGGATAGACACCCAATCAGCTGATCGGATTCTCTCGTATCCCGGAATGGTATGAATATTTGAACCATATTTTGGTACTCATTGTGACGATAATATGTTGAAAACTGTATCACCATCCTTGAAGGCCAAAAAGGGGGATTTTAGTTTTTTTTAAATGGCAAAATTTTTTTTAAATACATACATTTGTCGACAAAAAATAAAAAAATATATTAGCATTTGAATTTTGAATTTTCATTTATTCGTTCATTTGTTATGACTTTATAAAGATTTGATTTTTTGACTGTATTTCTTAATATCTTCAATCGTTACTACAAAGACGAGTAGTTTTATCACACGCATAAAAATAATTTGATAAAGTGGATTTGTAAAACCAACCTGTATACCTGTGCTGGAATAGGTAATCTGTAGATAAGATCTGTATCATTATTTCAAAGTCTTTTATACCAGTGAATTTTTTTTGTTAGAGTGTTATCGCCAAATGGACAATGCGAACATAAATATGAACTTTATATGCTACCGGTTTAAAAAAAAACCGAAGAAACATTATAATTATTAAGAGAAAATGTAGTATCTTAACAAAGTCATAGCTAATGAACAAATAAATAAAAATTCAAACGCTGAAATATTTTTTGTCTACAAATTTGTGTAATTAAAAACATATGTTGCCATTTAAAAAAAACTAAAATCCCCTTTTTGGCCTTCAAGGATTGGTGATAAAAATTGAAAAAATATTGAAAAATATAGTACAATGTGTACCAAAAAATCTTGGAAAAAATATGTTCAAATATTAATATATTCCGAGAAAATTAGTGTCTTATCCTCAATGAGTCACCCTGTATATATCTGTGGCTTGGGTCTAAAAGGGGCAATGTCAATTTTGGGCATAAACGAGTTAGTCCGCTAAATGCAAAAATTGAAACATTTTTTATTGACTGTGAAAAAATCGTACTCTGAAGCCAAAAAAAGAATAACTCATGAAGAGCTTGGTAAAAAAATTAACATAAAGCTTAATGGAAAACAAAAACTTCAAAGCTCATTTCCCAAAAGTTGCAAAAAGTGAGATTGGCCCTTTTAGACCCAAGTCGCTGATATATAAAGATATACGACTAAACTGTGGTTTGTTTTTTATCTAGCGATTGTGGAAAACATAGTAGCAACTATCAGACAAGTTGTTATCGATAAACTGTAGTCTTTAGGACAATTGATTATTTGATCAGTCGGTAAGTGTCTTTACGTCGTATATCTCTAAACACAAAAAACTTAAGCACAATCGTATTACATTATTTGAAAACTATTTATTATTATTATCTTGCAAAAAATAAAATAAAAAGTTTTAATAGAAATCTTTATGTTATTTAATAATCAAAAACAGTTTTTTTAAATATGTCAGTTTTAAAATGTAATAGTGTAGGTAACTACAATATTTCATGATTATCATTTTACACATTGTCGAGTATAAACATAAAAATAAATGTCCTAAACGCCTTATGTGCACAGGCACTAACAACAGTGAATGCGATAAAATTATATTTTCATGTTTTTAATATTATAAACGGTAGCGTTTGTAAAATGTACACTTAATTATCTATCTAAGACGAGTTCAAACTTCAAAATAAACCATCGCTAGTTGACCTAATGCATTAGCGGTGAAATGAAAGAACGTAAAGCTAATGTTTTCCCCGGTAACAATTTTAAACGCGCAAACACAAGTAGCCAGCTGACAGTCTACTTTTCTACAAAACGATTGCAAAAACACGATTTTCGATGGTTTTATCGGTATCATGATTTTGTATTGTTGACAGCAAACGCTTCTGCATATTCTTTTGCCGTTGCTCGTAAAATGCATTTTGTCGATTGTATTGCGATTGATTATCGCAACTGTTTCACATAGGTGTTGAACCACTTTTACGTCAAAGCACTTTCCTATAAAAAAAAAAAAAAACAACAATATTCCATAGGCTGATTTTATGTTCTAAATGGCGTTACAAACAAAATCCATTTATTTGAACTAGAGTATATTGGTTCGGTCCAAATTTAATTTTCCCATTTTTTTCATTGGTTGCCTTGATAATAAAAAAATAATTTTGACTACAGATTTATAGAGAGAAATCGTGTCTGGTGTAGCCCTATTCTAGATCACAGTGGTCTGGAAGCCAATTTAAGTGTGATAACGATAACCCAGTGTGTGTACCCGAAATTGAGTTGCAATGGGACCTAACGTTACTGAAAATCTAAACCCCGAAATCTTAGCTGATCCTTTTTGAATATATAGCGCTTTGTGTTAATAATTGTACAAATTTCCCAAAATCCTAAAGTTTTCGTTTAATTATCTGTATACTATGTACTATATACTGCGTACTTCTGGGTGTCACTACGGGTTGATCTACACAAAAACAGGTTACACAATACACATAAGCAAAACAAAATATACCCAATAATTTGGTGGGCGTTTGAAAGTCGGTCGGACTATTACATTTGGCCGCGTTTTGGACTATATAATTTGTGCGATTGAACTGTTTCGATTTATTGTCCATGGCAATATCAACGCCTCGTTCACATTCAAACTGGGTGTCTAAAAAATTAACCATTTGCACAGACATTTTTATTTTAAAATCGTACGTTCTAGAATAAGATAATTCGTACATACCGTTTTGAATTGCTGCATTTTCGTATGGTACGGTAATATTCGTTTTCAGAGCATGTAGATCGTGGCCGAGAAGTTGGTTGATCACAAACAACAACGGTAGTTTTTCGAAATTGTCTGAAATCAACAACGTAAGTGCGATTTTTCGCGGGCAATACTATTTTCTAATGTGGCTTACGTTTGCTTAGTAATATCCCGAGAAGAGATGTCTGAACAAGAACATTAAACATTATTTTACTACTAAAACGAAAATCGTATATTTAACCATCTTGTAGAATTATGTTTTACTACAACAACGTTTTATTGTGCATACTAATATTAAGCCCATTGGTTACTATTGGCAACTGGATGTTTTAGATTTTTCAGTGTAGACCTCGGACGACGCCTGATAAAATTGCTATGGTTACCAATTAACAGTGACCGTGTGAAATATAATTTGTACCTTTTTATATGATTCGTATTTTATAATTTTATTTCCCTTCTAACGAATTTCTTTTAAACATTTTTGGGCTTGTCGATTATAGATTGAATGTAAAAAATAAAAATAAATACAAACGTATTTCTTACAATACTTGTCAGTGACCGTAAGCACATTGGACTGAATCCGGAATTGATGAGGACCTTCTTAATGTATTGAGTATACATTTGTTTTGTTTTTCAAGTAGGTTACGATTTGATTTTCTTGTTCTCTATATGACACAACATTGTAGCAACTATTACTACTATGTTAGCTTTGTAATGTTATAATTAATGTTAAACCCACTTGTTTAAATTGTCAATTCACTTACAAAAAAAGGTTTTTTTGGTTACTGGACCACAATATACCACAACATATATAAATGGTTGATTACAATTACTTACTACTTGCACAATAATAAAGCATTCGTTTTGATAACGTTCAATTTCCTGGATTACTACTATGAGTATATATTATAATAAATTATCCACTTAGACGTGGTTATTGAGCAGCCAGCCTAGTAATTCATTTGTCTTCAGTATTTAAACTTTTGAACGATTTTCATCGATCATATTACCACAAGTGATAATATATTAGTGTGAAAATAACTTTCATTTTATAGTTGCAAATTAAGCAAAAAATTAATTGTAAACATGTAATTTTACGTTATATTATATCCTTAAAATAATTATTATTATACGATACAAATTATGGACATTTTAATATTCTGTATTTAAGAAAGAGACATTAGTCAAGGTGTGAGACAAATCCATGTTTAAACTTATTATTCTTTTGTACCTAACACACGTAATTACATCGTTTTCTGTAGAAAAGAGTCACATCTTACGGTCCAAACATCAATTATAGCGTTCGGAAAATTATACTTTACAGGGTTACAGGTCTACAAAAATTATGACAACTCGATCTTCTTTTCGGTTGCTGGCCTATGATATTATGGTATGCTTGCTGTGAGTTTAAAACACAAATAGTATATTTCGGATTACGCGGGTCCTTATATAATATTATGTTTTTTTTTAATTTGATTCAGTGAATCAAGTTGTTGAATTATAATATTACTGTATTACGTAAAGCTATAGAAGGTATAAATTAACTATTTAATTTTTTAATTTAATTATTTGAAATGATATATTACCATATTGAACTTTTTAGGTTAATAAATTGTTAAAGTTCATATAACCTCTACTATTTCCTCGCACAAATTTGCACTATATTAGCATTTTTAGCTCCCACGCATTAATGAGCCATTCTATTTAAAAAACAACCTTAAAAAATACTAGTACTTTAAGTTCCCACATATTATTTGAATAATAAGTAATAATAAATAGTGCATATAACGATATACATAACATCATCGTATGTTTGAACTTTTATTTATTTATTTATTTATTAAATAAACGCCCGTAGGCTCAAGTACATTACAGTACAATAAAATAACATAATGAATAACAAATTGATAAAATTGATAAACATGACATATAGAAAGAAAAAATAACTACAATTAGTACAGTATAAAATAATTAAAACAAGATAACACAACATCTTAATGAGTAACAGTGCATATATATAATTAAACAAATAAATCAATATCATTACGCCTATTACATATACGAGATATCCTATCGATAGGGTTGTTGGAACCATACGATGTGTGGTGGAATGGGATTGAGAAGGTAGGGATGGACCGGGAGTTGAAAGCGGGGATATGAAAGTTAAGACGATGTAGCAAATCTGGGCAAACAATATTACCCTTTATAATTTTCGAAAGAAAGGAAACGTCAATTGACTCACGTCTAGTGCCGAGTGATACCAAATTAAGGCTGGCCTCAATAGAAGATAAAGTGGAAGTAGAACAGGGGAGGCTAGGATCAAGACCAAGGCGTCTCTTGTAGCCAATGAGCCGCAAGAAACGTATTTGCACCCGCTCCAGTGATTCAATATGTCCAATTTGCGTGGGGTTCCATAAAACTGAACAATACTCTAAGAGAGGTATGACTAGTGACACATACAAGGTTTTAAGACATAGTTCATCATTAAATTATTTAGTGCATCTAATTAAAAAGCCAAGGCTTTTTAAAGCTTTGGTACACGATTTTTCAATATGAGAAGAAAATGAAAGGTTCGTGCATAAAACACGAACACGGGAAAATTCATTATACTTGAAGAGATCATTCGTAGCTTTGAACTCTTTATGAAGACGTTTTTTCTCCAAGATTAATGTTTTAAGTTCCTTACTATACCAAGGGGGAAAACTAGATTTTTGATTCAAACATTTCGGAGTAAACAAGTTGATGGCATGGGAAATAGTGGAATAAAAGTTTGAAACCATAACAGGAAGCTCTAAAGTATCATTCAATAATGAGTCCCAATCAATATTATTAAAATAGGTATTCATGGAATAATAATCAGTTTTGTAAAAATTGTAATCAAAGGATGCTGGGTTGGGGTCTAGAATTGGTGTATAGGATGGACCGTTGATTTGAAGTACCGGATGCGCTAAGTCAATTGGAACTAAAGAAACGGGACACTTTGTTAGTATTAAATTACTATTATTAGAAAGTACTAAGTCTAAGATATTATTTCTATAATTTGGAATAAGATTATGTTGGTATAATTGCTCGTAATCAATAGTTTCCGTTAAGACTTTAGCCTTAAGAGAAGACGGACCATATAGAATATTATAATGATACATATTAGACCATTTTAACTCCGGTAGGTTAAAGTCACCGACTATTATAAATATATGATCAGGGAAGGTCGAACGCAAATTTTCTATTACTAGACAGTGGGAATTGTAAACTTCAATAGTGGAATTTGGAGGAATATAAATAGAAACGATTATTATTTTAAAATTGGTAGTAATGACAGATATTGCTAAATTTTCAAGAGATAAATTAGGTAAGGACAACTGAAAAGAACTAAATCGTTTATGAATGGCTATTAGAACACCCCCTCCCCTAGAGTAAATACTATTATCATTATTTCGATCATTACGATATATCAGATAGTCAGACATCCCTAATTCACAACTGTTAATTTCATTGGTTAGCCATGTTTCAGTTAAAACAAAATAATCATAATGATTTACAGTAACAACATTTTGGCGAACAATTGAAAGTTTAGTTTTTAAACCACGGACATTCTGATAATACCCAGAAAGAGTATTAACATTTTTAGTAGAGTTGTAATTATTATTAACATACAGAGAGTTTAATATATTACACAAAGATCGAAGGTGAGATGGACTTGAGAATATACTTGATGAACCAATTCCCATTATCCGGACTGTTTCTTCTATCACGTTCAGCTTTGACAGATTGCAACATTTTCATTTGGTAATGTGTGAGATCTGTCGTGATCCAAACATCCCTCCATAATGGAACTGTCGAAAGCGACTTTTTTGATTTTAAAACATCTTTGACAGAATTAGAACTATCAAATATTATTCTAATTGGTCTTGGTTTGGTAGATTGTTTGCCGAGGCGGGTGACAGCGGATATATTAGCATCTATATGTAGCTTATTAATGAGGTCCGCAGCTTGCGAATTAATATCACTAACGGATTCATCCATGTTAAAAATTATAATATTGCGAGATTGCCCTCGTCGTGGATTTCGCGAATAATGTCAACCCCAGAACAATTATTTGGATCAATTTCTGGATTAATGTTAGTATTAGAATTTTTGAGGGAATCAATATCTTTTTTTAATACCTCGTTCTCTTTCTTCAGCGAAACTATCTCAGAAGAAAGGGCATCCATTCTAGATAAGATAGCTGTTGAGGTGTTTTCTTGCGTCAACAATTTGGAATTAATGGATTGAATATCTTTACGCATTCCGGTTAAGGCATTCATAATATCTGTGAGTGAGATAGCTTTCTTACTTCCGGAAGAGGATGAATTTATCAGTGATTTACTCACGATTGTCGATGAACAAAAAATAAATGAAATGGCAATAAAATGTAGCCATAATTTAGTATAATATTAAGTTGCCCCTTAAAACTTTGGCAAAAGCAACCAAAGTGGCGGCAAAATTTGAAAGCAGAGGTATCGATAAAAATGGCGACGTCAGGGTAGTTGTACCTCCGAGCGTACCTTAGTTAAATGAACCACGGACGGCAATAACGACAAAATTTACAGAAAAACAGCTGGTCGGACCGTAGACCGGAAGGTGTTGATAGCGTTCAAACAGTTTAGACGTGATAAAAACGTACCTCTAGACTACGAAGCTCACTTTACGTTAGAAAAAACTGCTTTAATCACACTGCCGTTTACAACGATTCGACTTCCAAACAAACACTAAAGTGTAATATAATTAGATTTGTATACAAAACAAAAAATACACTATTATTGACTATAAGAACACTAAAACAAAAATCACAGTATTTACCATATCACTGTTATCACATTTATGATGTTTTTACTATGTAATACACTATTTCTCTCAAATTATGGTTACGGTTAAAAAAACATATCACGGTCGACATGCACTAGGTTTTAATCGTAAGTACTTAAAATATTTTATTATATATTTTAACATTTGAATTTTTTAAATATTTGAATACCACGTCTTTTTTATTCGTTCCCCAGAAGTTTCTTTTGTTTATTGTATTTTGATTATAGTCGTTAAAGTTTTTTGAATTCTTTTAGTGTATGATTCCTCAGCTAAATATCCAGGTGGCCTTTTTTTAAAACTGATACTTAAACAGTTTATTAATATATTTGAAAACTTGAAAAGCATGTTGTATTGATTTTCGCGAAAAAATGATTAAATTTTTGTAAAAATAAATATATTTATTTGTAGAATTATATTATTATAACACTTTGGACGTACCCACGCAATTCGAGTGGTCGCATTGTTTTTAATTTGACTTTACTAAAAAAATAAGACTTACCGAAAATTATGTTAGCTCAAATTTATTATACTAAACTTACATTTGTTAGTGGTACATTTAAATACTTTTTTTGGTTCTAAAATATTAAATTTAATTATTTGTTTTAGATCGATGGCAATTATTCAAGTTATACCCAAAAAATTGACAACATAAATTGGGCATTATGTATCTCGGAGTCTTGTAACGCCAAAGAAGTTCAGATATCAATGAAACTATTTATAAATATACTTATTAACTTTAACAGCTAATTATATTGATTTTCACGAAAATTAATTAACTTTTATAATACTAAATAGAGGTTTTTGTAACATTAGATTATAACACTTTAGATGTTCAATAAGGAAATGTACAAATAACGACTATTAGTTGCATTAACAACTGTACCATAGAAAATTCTATGTGCTATAACTAGGTACACCGATCGAAAAAAAAATTCAGATCAGATGAAGACAAAAGTACTAATTATTTGTTTGTGTTTTAAATACATCTGCCTTGCTTGCTGTGATACAAAAGGCCAGTTAAATATTTTCCTAGCAAAAAGAAAAAAAAATTATCAAATCAGTCATTACAATAAATAAGTTTTTCATTTGTTTTATAGAACTTACTTAAAATAGATCAATGAACATATTGTTCACCTATAATGTTCATAGTCCCAACTATATTTAACGTTAAGATCAGTACCGCAATCATGCTAAAAATTACATAATATTATTCAACAATTGTTAATATTAAAAATAGTAATTTAGTTAAAGTTAATAAATAACCATATGTATTGTAACAAAGCCGTTTACCAAAAAAGAATGAGGTATACATCAATGTGTTTTACATCAGACGTTCTTTTTGATGTGTATAGAGCTGGATTAACAGAAACTTTGATTGTTAAATTCGATTGTTTAAATATATGCGTCAACAATTCTTCCATTGATATATGTACGTCTTTGGCGTTACAAGCGTCCGGGATACATAATGCCCAATTTATCTTATTAATTTTTTGGGTATGCCTTGAATAATTGTTATCAGTCTAAAAACAGATAATTTAATTTAATACTTCAGAACCAAGAAAACCAGAAAAACATTGGGGTCGGGGCATAGTGGGGACGGAGCATAGTTGGGTCGGGGCATAGTGGTGACGGGGAGGTCACAGGTTTACAGGAGTTTTTAAATCTGAAAGTGATAAAATCACTTTCGAAAAAACGCTTCGATGCAAATCGGTAGTTAGTATTTTCAAGCCAGTACAGTCCAAACTAAGCACAGTATAAACCAGCAAAGTTAGGAAGTTTTAAATGAAGGTTCTGTATTTACAAATGAGCATCAAAGCGTTTATTTGAAAGTGATTTTATTTCATTTTATCACTTTTATTTGTAATAATTCCTGTAGACCTGTGACCTCTCCGTTTTTTCATTGCTTTGATTACATTATGCCAATACTCTACTGTACTAGTCCTCTCGGATAAAATCGCTTTCAAATAAACGCTTTGATGCTTATTTGTAAATACAGAACCTTCAATTAAAACTTTCTAACTTTGCTAGTTTATACTGTGCTTGGTTTGGACTGTACTGGCTTCATTATTTGCAGGAAATTGGACCTTATATACTCATAGTTGACCTTCGGTAAGGTTATATAACGCAGGCTATAAAATAACGAGATAACGACAGTGGTTTTGTCCTATCAGAATCATTAAGTGTTTTAATAACCACACGGATAGGTTTTTTTACCAATAAATCGAGTGTCTACAATAATCAGTTACACGATTTAGTCGTCTGTGATATCATGTAATAAACACAATATCATGATACCGATCATTGGGCCCTAACCTTATCTAACACGGATAGACGTTACCAACTGATAGTTTTTAGTGTCTGTTCGTTTCTCCCATCTGGTACACCGGGTTTTTAGTTAAAAAAAAAAAAAATTGAATTTGTGTTAACTTAAAGTCAAAAGTGGTACTTGAGCACAAAACTTAATAGTATCATTCTGCATAGATATACATAAAATTGTTTTAATGATTTGATCAATTTTTTTTTAAAGATTTTAGGTGTTTTTGTTAAAATATACGAAATCTGCGAAAACACAGTTTCCCGGCACAAAAAAAAGTGTAGTGCCGAATTTTTTTCCCGTTTAATATGTTATGGATACATATGAGTTCCAACTACTGGCAAATTTTCAACCTAAAAGTTTTAAAATTACGGCTAAAAACCCCAAAAAAACCTTGTACCCTCCCTAGGGGGGTGGGAAATGGGTATAGTTTAAATTTGACACAATTGACGTATGCGGGCATACCAAATAATTATTTCTTAAACATTTCAACTCGATCCGACTCTTTTTCTCGAAATTATAGCCAGTAAAAGTTCTAACTTAAAAACTCGTACGGTTTTTTTTTGTTTTTTAAAATTTCGTTTGTGAAGAATTAAACTTTTTCAACTTTTACCCCCCAAAGTACAAACTAGATAAAATTTGTGATAAATAGAGTTGCTATTTGAAGGAATTGGTCTAGTATTAAAAAAGTTACAGTTCGTACAGCTAAAAAAAAAGCCCACATCAGAGTAAAACCAATACCTTCTCGCTTTACATCGAAGCTAAAAAATATTGTAATATAACATTTACAAATTTAAGATTACAAAATTGAATTTTACACAACATAATTTGCAGCCATTTCATTTTTTTTTTTTTAATAAATTCAAATTTAAAACATTTTGGCCACTCTTAATGAAGTGTAGGTACATCTTCTATAATCTAATGAAAAAAAAACTCTATTGTTATAAAATTAAATAATTTTTCGCGAAAATCAATATAATTAGCTTTTAAAGTTAATATTATTTATTAAAGTTATTAATAAATAGTTTAAGTATCAGTTTTAAAAAATTATTAGCTAGTTTGGCCTAACAATTTATAAAAGGTTCAAAAATGTTTACATATTTTTACATTTCCCCGAGCTGATTTTTCGTTGTTCCTTACTTTAGAAATATTGTTATTTTCTTCAGTAATTTGAAACTGAACATTTGGTAAAACATACACACTGTATATATTTAACTTCTTCGAATGTGCTCTCATACACTGATTATAATACCCAATTTCGTATGAAATGCCTGGCAAATGGCCGCCGGGATATTTGGCCGAATAATCATACACTATAAGAATAAAGAATTCATACATTTTCAATGGCTATTAATAATTTTCAATATACACTAAAATTAACAGAGGAAACTTCAGGAGAGCGAATAAAACAGACGCGATATTTAAATATTCCAAAGATTCAAATATTGTAATGTAGTAAATAATAGTATTTAAGATTCTCTAAACTTATAATTGACTTTATTTTTAGTCGAGTAGGGTTAAAATACTTGATGATACTTACTTTGAACGGCCCACGAATCTTGTTCGATCAAGTGTCCTTTGTAAATTTGTCCATCCTCAGTAAACTTTGGATTATCATAAAAAAACGGCACAAATCCGTCCATTTGAGTAGCAATAATATGACCTATCCACATGTTACTAATGGAGTTTTTTTTTATGTTAAAAAGTTGGTTTTCCATCTCACTCTCATAGTACTTGTCGATTGATTGTGGAGGTGTTGAGCTTGTATTTAAATTTTCTGATGATAGTTCGAAACTATGACTTATTATATTGATGCTTATGGCAAAAAACAAAATCATACTGGTTTGCATTTTCTGTAAAAAATACAATGATATTTATTTAGTAACACATGTATGCAATACATGTTTTTAAATTGATTCAGTGTAGTATATCTAATTTGGTTTGTAACGTATGTTTTCCATTTTACACCACTCAATACATTATTCTCATTGGGTTCAATTATTAATTTAATTTTGTTTTAAACTATTCATTTTTAAGTGACCTCAGTTCGACAATTTTTTTATTCTGTAACTCCTTCCCAGGTAGATAATTTAGATATAAACTTTCAATTTACAAATGGAAGGGTATGTTTTTTACTCAAAATGAACTGTAATAACTAAGTTAATCATACTTTTGAATCAAAATGAATTCATTTACACATTAGGAATATATTATAATAAAATAATTTTTAATACTTACGATTTAAACCTAGTGCAAGTCGACCGTGTTATGTTTTTGTAACCGTACCAAAATAAATTGAGAGAAATAGTGTATTATATAGTTCAAACATACGGTGGTATTATATGTAGCATTGTATACACTATTTTTTATTACTTTATTTATTGTAAATTAATACGTGAGAACTTAAATTACTAGTATTTTTTAGGTTTTTTTTTAAATTTAATGGCTCATTAATGCGTGGGAGCTAAAAATGCGCTAGTATTGTGCAATTTTGTGCGAGGAAATAGTAGAGGTTATATTGACTTTAACAATTTCTTAACCAAAAAAATTCATAATTGTTATATATCATTTCAAATAATTATATAAAAAAATGAAATAGTTAATTTACATCTTCTTAAGCATAACATAATACAGTAATACGTCTACGCTGATGGCAGTCGGCACGACGTTATTGCTGAATGCTGACGACGGTTTATTGACAAACGACAAATGTGTTGTGTCTTTGTTTAGCGGCGACGGTGTCTTTTGTGTGTTGGGTATTTTATGATATTATTTGGTAAAGAATAAAAAAATAAAATTTTCTCATTAGTGCAAGTCTATATTCTGTAATAATAAGTGAGTACTCTGTGTCATATCTACTTCTAATATCTATGTATAAAAAAACTACTGATATCCCAACAAAAAAACTTCTTTAACTCAGTGTAAATATTCACTAAGTTAAAAAAAAAATTAGTGTTTCAACATGAAAAAATATAAATTTAGTTTACTTGGCCGGAAGTCGAAGTTTGTTTTCCTGCTATAGTTTTCCTACTATGTTCCTATTATAACAAGTGCTATATTTACATTTTTTCATGACTGTTTTCCTACTTCTGATCTAATAAATACAGCAATTGATATAATAATAAAACTAGTAGGAAAACCAACTTCGACTTCCGGACAAGTAAATTTCGATTTTTTGTGACTGGTTTAATATGTAGACAGATTTTTAATTTTTGGCAACGATGTATAATACATATATTACATTATAATATTCACTTGGTTGCTATATTATATCACGTATTTTAAGGCTTATGTTGAAACACCAATTTTTTATTTTTACTTAGCGATTATTTACACTGAATTAACGAAGTGTTTTTGTTGGGATCAAATAATCGGGGCACATAGAACTTACAGTTTTTCTGTATCTACCTAATTAATATGCCAATTTAAATAATTGTAAATACAAATTGTGCATTATTCCCTAACAAACCATTTTATAAAATAAAACGGTTTTAGAAAAAATTTACTTTATAACCACTTTATTAACTTTATATACTATAAAATGTACATGTGATATGTGGTTAAAAAAAAATCATGATAAATAACGTAATCGGGTTTCTAATAAAATTGTTTAATATTTTTTTTTTTAAAACAGTTGGATTGAAGTTTAGTTATCTGATAACAATAAAAAATACCACCAATTAAATGCTTAGTGCTACGTACTATTCCTTTACTATACTTCACCTACCATCTAACTTAATTTTCATTTTAAAATTGACCTTCCCACAGTAATGAATTTCAGTAATTTTTTTTTTAAATTAAAAAGTTTTTAATATTAAAAGATAACAGATTATGTTCTCGATTCTATATTAACGTAACATCCGTCGACAAATTTCAGCACTACGGCATAAGTAATTCTGAGATCCCTCTGCAAAGGACATTTTTCTGATGGAGAAAAGCGAAAGGACCGAACAAGCGTAGATATCGCAGTTTTCATTTGAAACATTGCGTATTTCATTCCAACACAGCTTCTGGAGCCTGCACTAAATGGAAGGTACGCATAAGGATGACGACTGCGACACACTTCAGGCAAGAAGTTGTCTGGATTGAATAACTCTGGTTCCTTATAGTAATGCGGGTTTAAATGCAAACTATTAATAGGAATCAAAATATTCGTGTCTATAACATATTATTTATTCGTTAACTATTAGTTAAGTACCAACAATCAATGAAATTAAATATTTATTTTCTTTTATTAAGTTCTACCTGCAGGGATTAAGTATTTTCCGATCATCATTTCGTTTTTTATTTTTCTGGCCAATATAGGTGCAGCTGGATACAACCGCATAGTTTCCTTGATCACGCGTTCTAAGTATTCCATTTTTTGTAAATCCTCGTACGTAGGCGGTCGGTTGGGATCACCAGCCGAAAATATTGAATTTATTTCTTGTAAAACCTAGTTGCAAAAACAAAACGATTAAAATAGTCAAAAAGATTCAATCTTTAGTAAATATGTAATTGAAATGTATTTTACTCCTCATTACATTGTTTTGAACATCTTGATGATGAGCCAGCATGAATATGACGATTGTATTTGTTATTGCGGTCGTGTCATGTCCGGCTAAAGTCATAATATTAACTTATTATTAATAAAATTGAAAAACACTTGATAAAAAAAAATAAGAGGTTTAAAGTTAAAAATGGCAAATACCGCGACTCTCAAAAAATTGCAAACATTATCTAGTTAATTATTTGGCTGGCATTAACATATCATGATAACTTATATATATTTTTGTTACAGGTATACATTTTTTTTCTTCTTCTAACCTATTTCCAAAATTATAAACACAATATATCTGGAAGCTGATGCTATTATGCTCTCGCTAAATTAATTGGGTTAAAATTACTACACCAGGAATCAAAATAACGTATATACAGCGGGCCAAGTGAGCAAGGCCAAGCCTAATGTACGCATGCAAGACGTGGCCTACAACTTAGGAGTATGAGAAAAACCTATCTGTCCACAAGAGAAAATTCCTGAGGATGGTTTAGAGCCTAACAGAGATGTGACATAAACATATTAGATTAGATCAAACAAAATAGTACAGAAACTTTTCGGAAAACCAAATTTATTAGTAGAAACCTGACAAAATACTTTGGTTTACTTGGCTACGAAATAAAATGCAAATCGACAACTACTACATCCTGCCAAAGCGTGCACCTGGAGGGCGTTTGCATAACAATAACACTAAACATAACCGTTTTTAAATCTTTAACTTATTAACTAGCCTTGGGAGTATAAAGAATTGCGTCTTAAAAGTGTCGTGTTGGATTTTTACTAGTTAAAAAAAATATAAAAACTATCTACCCCTAATAGGTTTTAATGTGAGAACTCTAAAAGGAAAACAGTAGAGAAAGTTGCATGTTCTGAACTAGACACCAGATGGGAGAGATCAGCAGTTGACTTAAGTATATAGGTATAAAATAAAAATTTAAATAGAAGATAAAAGCAAAAATAACTAAGCATTTAGAAATAAAACATCAGTGAAATAGCATAGGGTAGAGATAATTGGAGGTTGGTTTATTTTGTAGCCTCAATAACCTCTGAAAAGCTAGAGGAGAGATAGGAAGGGGACGAAATAATTGTTCCTACTTTTCCACATCAAGTATATTCGGGCTAAATGTATTATCTAATGACTTACTACATGATAATATGTCTAAATATTTAAGTGATTTCGTGAATCCATAAATAAAAAATAAAAAAAAATATCATTGTAAGTCTAATAATTGTTCAGAACCGCATCAAAGCTTAAATACTTCATTGTTATACCTTACTTAGCTCCAAATCGATATACAAACACTTGACTAACCATTTGCCATTGTAATTAAATGGTGCCTTAATGTTTTCTTTGACATTTGATCTTCATTTTCTAGTAGAATTTCGATTAGAGTTTTTGGTTTTCGACAAATATTATCTACGTCATCGTTCCCGTTTATCGCCGTCTTTGCTTTTTCATTAACTTCGACTCGTTTTTTCTGAACTAAATCATTTAAAAATGCATGTATTAAATGTTGACTCACTGTTTGTTCATGTTTTCTCGATGATAGTGAAAATATCCTTGCAAAAAAAAACCACGGTCGCTCGAATCTATATTGAAAGATCTGAAATTAAAAACAACAATAAGCAAACTAACCATAGTAAAGTTAAAATGAAATTATTTTTAGACCCCTAAAAATGTCTTCTAATTTTCGAGTGGTCTTATTTGGTCATTAAAAAAATTTTAATTTAAAATAAACATTTTTTACTTCTGATAGACGTTCATAGTTATGCCGGAATACATGATTTTTTATTGTTTGTGAATCAAATTTTTCTCCAAACGCTGTTCTTCCAATTGTGTCCATCGATGCTAGTTCGAAAGCTCGGCTAATGTCACAGCCGTAAGATTTGCTTTCGCGTTTTTCAGACAACATCTGTTCTAGAACTTTAGTTTCCTCGTAAAAAGTAGTTATTAATGATTTCAAGGTTGAATACTTTAGCCATTTTGATATAATTCTCCTAAAACAGTACATTTTATTAACACTCGGGTATCAACAATTTCGTTCTATTAACCACAGTTTTTTAGCTTCGATGCGGAGCTGAGAAGGTATTGTTTTTACAATGATGCTTTTTTATTTTTGTATCTGGGCCCACGATATTTCATAAACGGCTGAACCGATTTCTTCGTGTAGCAACTCAATAGATCAGAAATCATACCGGGAAGGTATACTTTAAAAGGCCAAAAATTTAAAAAAGTCACTTCTTCCTCATCAAATTTGAGAAAAACGCACAGAAAATTTACAAATTGTTCAACTTAAATTTACGACGCTCTATAACTTTTTTTAAATTGGTCGAAAAAGTTCCAAATTTATATGAATTATTTTTCAAACATAGTACTATCGATAAACATTAACAAACCAAAAAAATATCATAAACCCTTTCCCCTAGAAGGGATAGAATTTTTTTCTTTATTTAACTTTTTCAAGTAAAGTTTAAAAGATTTAGATCTAAAAATTAGACCGAATGTAGAAAATGGAACCATAACACATACAATTTTCTCAATAATCTATAGTCAAATTTTTTTTATTAAGAAAAAACACCAAAAATAGAGTAAATTTACACTTTGGCCGTAGTCAGTTTCTAGGTTGCTATGTGTGAGTGTACTGGATTTTTTTTTCTATAGTATAAAAAAATATTTGGAAATTTTATTCTAAAAATATATATCAGCCAAAAGAGTTTCACATAAAAAATATCATTATAAAATAGCTTATCCGTTCCGATTCAATGTTAAAAATCATTATAGTCGTGGTTTTTTTAGGAAATGATAAATTAATTAGTAGTATACGTTCTATATATTATACAAGTGGCGTCCAGAAAAAAATATCCAAGGACAAACGTCTGTAGATAGAGTGTAACCAAGTAACAATGTAGTATAGCAAAATTTATAACAGATCATGTTTTACCTGTCTTTTTTATATTCATGTATATTGTTGGTTGTAACTAGCCCATGCATTGAAAATGTATCTCTAATTACAGAGTAAACTGGTGCTTTTTTAAAACAATTTGAATTCGTCATTACTTCTTCTATATCTTCGGCTTTTGATATGCAAACACAAAAATTGTGAAAAATCCAAAATTTAAATATTGAATTGTCGTATCTTAAACATTAAAAGCTTAATTTACATCACATATTTATATTTATTAAAATTACGTATCTAAATAATTAAAATTCTTTATAGTCTAAATGTCCTGCGTTCGATTATATTTGACCTTTTTTTTTCTCAACGGTCCGGAGAATGCATTTGTTCCTTAAGTAATTTAAAATAATATAGCTAATTTAATAACTGCCAATGCATCGATAAATATTTTGGAACAGGTCCGAATGCGTCAAAGTATAAGATACTATTACTGTCCGCAAAGTTATTATCAAATGGGATTCCTTAATTGTGCTTTAACTGTTCTTTCTCATACCATGTTTTAAATAGTAAACACACTCGCTTGAATTTTGTATTAACTTAAAATATTTTTTTGGTTACTGGACCTCATTTAACCGCAAACTTTACTTACTTATTACACAATAGTAAAAAATTGTCTAAAAATTTGTCATTTCCTTGAGTAAAAATCCGTGTAGACCCAATAAAAAAATTTCCATTCAGACCTGGTATCAGAGCAGCCAAATGAATTTGTCTTCGGTTTTTTATCCTTTTAAATATTATTATTGATGATATTAATACAAATGACAGTATTAAGGGGTGAATATAACTGATACTTTGTAGCTGCGAATTAATTAAAAAAATTAGTTAAATAAGTAATTATATAATAAAAAATCGGATATTTTAATAGACTGTATTCAAGAGTCAAGGTGTAAAGCTTAGGATATGTATATTTTATTCGTATGACGACACAAGTTATTAATATAAACGTACATAATACAGATTATAGAAATTATAAATATAAAAAATACAAAATGTTATACAGAGTGGATCAGTGAAACGGGCGATTTTCCCATGTATTTAAATAAGAAAATCGGCCTTTTCACTGCCCTACCCAGTTTATACTAGCAATTATATATATATTTTATGATATTGTGATATAATAGAATCATAGATATATGTGTGCGTGTATTTCAAATAGGCGAATCTTAAATATTGGACCGGAAACCTTACGGTACTGGTCTTGTTTTTAGGGGTACAAAATTATAGCCCACCTGCACGTTAAAGAGTTTGTATTATTTTTATAGACCCTAAGCTAACGGTTATAACAATTTTTTTTTTTTTGGTTAGCTATTTAATCCGGTTGGACTTGGTATAAATAATCCTTCTACAAAAATTATACTTCATATTGTCAATTGAATTATATAATACAACAGGGCCAAGCTGGGTCTGTGCTTTATACCGAGTCAACAGCTGTTAAAGAATCTTAAACATAATGTTATTGTCATTCCTTCCTTTGATAGTGAAAAAAAAAAAAAAATTTAAAGTTAACTGACGATTTTAATTGCTCCTTTAGTCAATATTTAATTGTAGCTATTTCAATAATATAAATTGGAGATATATTTATTCTATATAGTAAAATTTAATATTTAATTATTTATCTTAACTAATATATTAAGATAATTAAGTAGTAGCGAATTAACTGCGAGAAAGTTGTTTAAAATATAATATTTGAATCATAATACGGGGCTGTAAAAAAAAAAGTTATATTTATTTTACCTGACGAGTTTAAGTGTCAACTTAAAAAATTCTATTTGATTAGTATCTATGTAGTAAAACTTACTTTTTGAAGAATAGAAATCATCTTTTCGGTTGCTGGCCTGTGATAATAATATTATGGTGTGCGCTGATGTGAGTTTACAATAAAAATAGTAAATTTCGGATTATTAGGGTACTTATTTAATATGTTTTTTTTATTATATTATGCTAAATAGAATGTTAATTAACTGTTAGTTACATAATTCATATATATATTTTTTTTGAATGTCTTATATAATGCCTTAATACATAATTAATGATTTTAAGAATAATGCTAATTGTTATAAATATGAATATCTTTTTTTTTTGTTAGAATAATATTGTAATTAGTTTCATATTTCCTGTTCTAATCCATTACTATACACTAATTATAGTCATGTTAGCTTTAGTTATAAAATTTAAACAATTAGCCAAACTAATTGGAAAGTCACACAATACTGGTAATTTAAGTTCCCAGTCGTTTTTTATTTCAATTTGTGAATTTAATTGTTATTCGAATAGTAGGTAATAATAAGAATATTTAAGGCGCTCTCCGGAAAAAGGATTAATATGACTTTTCGGAGGTTGTTTTAAATGAACGTCCTAATCAAATATATCCACAGTATAATGTTTTCTACGTTTTTGGTTCATTTTGATGTATTTGATCGAATTTGTATGCCAGGATTTACAATAAAATATTGTATAGTTTAAAAAAACTCAGCTATTATGGTCACTTGTATATATAGTCACCAGCAAATTACAACATAGGTACCTATCGGTACAGCAGCGACACAATAATGTCAAAATATCCGCTGTGTGTATTGATACTTGATATTTCTCAATGCATTTGAGTTTAAAGTAAACATAATAAGTATTTTTTTTTCAGCGAAGCATGACATTTAGCTATGTGATTTCCTTATCTTAAGACTTTTTTTTTTAGTCTAATTTCAAAGGAATAATTTTTTTTCTGAAATATAATACAATCCGGTGCACCAAATACTGTACTGCAATTTGTGTAGCATATTTAAATGTCGTTAGTGTCATATTATCTGGACTCGGTAATTTTGGTTTTTATTTTTTTAGTAAATCAATATTTCCCAATTATATATAACACAGTTATCAATTATAATATTTTATAATTACCTAATTTTAGACCTAAAAGCCTGACAAAATTACGCCTACTAAGAATTATCGTATTTTAGTTCTGTAAATATTTAAGTTCATTGACTTTTATCTCAGGTTATTGTGGAAGTCGATTTTTGAATAACTGTTTCGTTTATTAAAAAAAAAAAAAAAACAATAATGAGAACACTGAAAATCTGAGAAATTCAAATAGGATTTAAACACAATTTTAATTGAAATATCAAATACCGATTTCCAAAATTACCTAGGAAAAAGACCGATAACCTCATAATTTGTACAAAACTGAAATAGAACCATTCTAAGTAGACATAATTTTTGTCCATAAAACCGACCGCTTTCAATGCCCTTCAAGGGGCCTTTACGCTAGCAGTTATTAAGGCGCATTGTATAGGCAATCTGTCATCAAAATTTCACATTGAAGCTAAATGTTAAGCCATGGTAAAACCATGAAAACCAAAAACTAAATAAATTTTGATATATTTATGTTTCAGTTATTCAAGTACTGTATTATTTCGATAATATGTACGTACATATTAACAATTAACATGGTTACTGGCCAATAGTTTAACAGTTTAATGAGTTGAGTTTTTGGACCGCTGCGCTGTGTTTACAAAATTCCGCGTAATCAAAGCCTGCTGCCTTACCGATTTAATGTTGCCAAGTGCCACCTTGATTTCATTTACTGAAAAAGCTGCATTATAGTCAGGGTGTGGAGCTGGTTCTTTCTTTCTCATTTGGTAATTTTGTTCCACAGTCTTCTTGTGTATTTTATTCCATTTTCGCCTTGGCAACTTCCATAAGTCAGGCTGCCACATTGTTAGTGTTTATGGTACTATATTGGGCAGGCTTAGGTAATTCCGAACCTAGTCCCAGACTTCTTGTTGGCTGGAATTGGTAAAGTTTAGGTTGGAAGTGGTTTCATGCCATTTATTGCGTCTATTTTCAGTCAGTGCTTTTATTTTTTGTGTGTATATTTTTTTCTTGATTTATATTTATATGTGATTATTTGTTGTGTATCATTTTTGCAATGTTTATAATTTATATCTCTATGTAATACATTTTTGTGTGTATCATTTTTTCTTGATTTATATTTGTATTATATGCGATATTATATTTATACAGGGTGATTATTTTATCGTGAACCACTCAATATCACATAGGGTCTAATAAGGAATTAAACATTTTTTTTTCGTTATGTTTTTATACAATGTAATCCCAATTTTTCAAAAAAATTTTTGTTTTTATCCCCCTCCCAACTTAGTTTTTTTAATAGCAACTTTTGAAATTTAAATGGTAACGTACCTACATATTTTATAAACTTTTAAGTTGAGAATAATGTACTGAAAATGTTGATTGATCGATAACCAGTTTCGGATAACTATTTTTAAAGTAATAAGAGTTTTAAAAATAGGATGGGGGGGGGGAATGCACGCAGATAAAAATAATACTACAATCCACCTTTTCTTCTGCCCTAAACTTGAAACTTCAACAACTTTAAAAATAAATATCCGAAACTGGTTATCGACCAGTCAACATTTTTAATACATTACTCGTAATTTAAAAAGTTAATAAAATATATACGTTACCATTTAAGTTTCAAAAGATGTTATCAAAAAAACTAAGTTGGGAGGGCGGTAAAAACCAAAAAAAATGTATAAAAAAACTATGAAAAAAAAATTTTAATTTCTTATTAAACCCTATGAGATATTGAGTGGTTCACGATAAGTGGACCATCCTGTATTATACAGAGAATCAATATCATCGAGTGATATCATAATTTTTAATTTAAAATACTTAAAATACTTATTACTGAGAATAGTGAACAACAAAACTAATCATATAATTTCCATTCAATAAGTAATAACAAACTACAAAAATTAATGGTATGATGACGTTCCGCCCGTTCACCGTTATCATGATTCATGTCACGATTTGACATGATACGCGGCCAATGCTGACTTTGTTGATAAAATAGAGTACTATCAGCATGGAAGAAAAACAAATAACGGTCAACATTTGAATTATGAAAATATTATAGGAGATTCTAATAGAACATTAGTGGAATTGGACCTTTGATTCTTGGTATGGCACTAAGACAAAATCGCAAAATCTATATTGCAATAATTTAATAATGATTTACATACATCATTTTCAGTAAGTAAAACGTCAGACTAATCCTAACTCACACGAAAACGATAAAAAACTAAAAACAAAATAAAATATATATATCCAGATGTAACCATCTGGATATATATAGTATATATACTTAACAGTACCCTTTTTTAACGATGAGAAGATATAAAAAAAGAATGACGTAGCTGGAACTCAAATGTATTGTTATAAGTGACTACCTGCTTTCCCTCATTACTAACTTGAACAAAATTTAATAATATTCAACAACATTTAAACGATATTTCTGGAGACTTTAACGCTTGTCAACTTCTGTGACTACTTTGTAACTGCCACTTCATAGTACCCTTTGTCTAATAGTGTGTGTGTTTTCTTTTAAACTATAGGAGATGAAAGTTAATTCTATTAAAAGCGAGCTCATTAGAAAGAGCTTGTGAACCTAACAAAATATGAATTTAAAAATGTTTTAATTAATTATTTAATTTTTGTTTTTGAATAAATTCAAAAACAAAGAAACTACATGTCGATCCCGACTTAGCAAACGTTCTTATTTAAACAATATTAGTATTTCGGGTATTTCGTTATACAGTTTTACTGTCTGTTAAATTTCCAGAGACGTATAGAACATTCGGTTTGTTGATTTCTGCAATAATAACATACTTGTGTGATCTCGAGCACCGAATTACTTTTATTTACCCGGAGTGGCTACCACCAATGGCATCACATAGTATTCTTTTAGTTGCAAAAAATAGCAAATTCACTTTGTGTATCTTGTATTCTATCGTCAACGCTATATCCGGCTTTAGTAAACGTTATAGTTTTAATTATTTTATTTATATATTTTTTTTACTTTGATGTGGAGCTCTATTACGTTATTATTCTTATAATGGTTAGAGTTAAAGTTTTTTTCGGCATTATTCTATGTTTTCAACTAGACCACACTATAATAAATTATATTTTATTTATTACTTTCTCGTTCGAGTTGTATTAATTATTATTTTTCGATAGCAAAATGCATTTATAAATTACCTACGAACAGTTTTGCCATTTTTTATATTTTACTTATTGTACGGACATTCCCAAAAATTATATTTAAATTACCTGCTTAAAAAAAATTATAAGAAAGATAAAAAAAATGTTGTTTTTATTTTTAAATGATACAAAATTATTAATTTTTTTTTCATACATTTTGTTTAAAAATAAATTTGAAATTATCAAAAATAATTCATTATTATTGATAAAAAATTATACAATATTATTTTATAACATATAATGAACGTACAATAAATAAAATAAAAAATGACAAATATGTTCGTAATTATAAATAAAAAATGTGGTCGATAATAAATGATGAATAATGTCATAAATACTCGAATTTATGCATTCAACTGATAATCTTTTTGTATAAGGTTACAAAAAATATTGTTCATAGTTAAAAAATGTATTGCGTTTTTGTCAAGTTTTCTATTGTTCATTATTTTATTTTTATTTTACCTACCTTTGTCTTAGATACATGCATATAGACTTGCTAATTGTAACTGAATTCCGAAAAATAGTAAAAATAACTACATTTATCTAATAATATAAATTGTCCTAATAACCTTTAGACTTCTGATGAAAGCACAAGTTGCGCCTTTGTAATATTTTATTTTACCTATACTTAGTATTTGTACCGTTTAAAGATTCGCGATTTTCAATACAAAAATTAAAATTCAGTGTCCACTAAACCTGATACTCGTGAAAAGAATAAAACAAATTAACAGACACAACAGACCGAAAATTCAAGAGCAGTCAACCCATAAATAGCGGTGTTATAATTGTAATTTATTCAAATACATTATCTTAGGTATGTGTCTATTTTTTTTTGTTATCAAATATTAAATTAACCATAAAAATAGTTTTTTTTTTAATTTAATCTAAAGAATAGCTTCGATCTATTCGATTATTGTATTGGTTTGCTTATTTACCAAACTAATAGCATATTATTTCTTCATATTTTCTTAGTGTTATCAATCATAAACAAATGTTATTTACCTTATCGTTTTGCACAGGCGTATAAAGAACATAATATTATGTCGTCCTAAATATTAGACACTACAATCAGTTGGCATATACTATTGAAATTATATGTATCTAGTTGATTTGTCGCATCTTAACACTTTTGGCGATGTTGAAAAGGACCATCCTTTTTAGCTTTTAAAAAACAAGATATATGGAAAAAAAATACAAATTTAATGTGGAATTTTATAATTGATTAAATATTTAAAAATGTAAATTTATATTGAGAAATTATATACAAAATATTATACAAGTAAAATTAATTTCAAATTAATTGCTGAATTAGCAGTGTTGCTAATGCATTTTAAACGATAATCATTTGTACACAACTTAAACGTTACATTTGTTAGATCATGTTCAAAAATAAACCCTTCTCCCCAATAATAATTTGGATCTGTGGAGAACACGATATTATTGTTAATGCAAAAGTTTTTAATAATAAAATAATAGAAGCAAATCGTTTAATTGATACTTTTATTTCGTTGTCCAACAAGGGTATGTTCGTTTCGGTCCTTACCTCTTCTGCACGGCTTACACTAACTCTTTTCACCAAAGAACTTAGCTAAATAAGCTGCAAATCAAATTCTTATTCAATTGAATGATGAGAAGTGATTTGATGGTTAAGAAGGATGACAATCGGGATAAGATAATTTCAATACAAGTAAGACAATTAGGTATCAAATACAATAATTATAAACTAGACATTGCTGTTTCGAAGTATTTTTTTATTAATATATATATTTACAAGTTTTACATAACACGATTAAACATATTAAGTACATAATATTATATAAGGTGACGTTAGATACCAAGCGTTCTTAGTTATTATCATTGAATACCAATTAGCAATTTGGTAACCTCATGCATATTTTTTCCACACTAAATATTATTATTTAATAAATTGTTAAAACGTTAAGTATAATATATTTTGGTTATTTGTGTAAAAACATACATGATCGAATATATATTGTATAATACATACTTAACTAGGACTAGTAAGGTTTCAGATATTAATGAATAACCAATTACTATTCTCTAAAAATGTCATACAAACAAAATAACACCAGACTATGATTATAATCATTCTAATTGTTCGTTAAGTACGATTAATAATATGGTTTATTTTAATGTATATATGTATAATTGTATGTATCTAAATGTCAGTTATACTTTCGAAAATAATCAATTGTACAGCTATAGTATCAATATTTTTATATTATAACAATTAATTATATAATTTTTAGTAATATAAACCCAGTCTTTGATCGTAGTACATTTATCAATATATAATTATATTTAATATAACAATTTTTACATAATATTTACAACGAAGACACAAGCAATCGGTTAAAATAAAACGCCTAAACGATGGTTTTTAGTATACCGGCAAAAAAATCGTGTGCTGTTATTACAATATTAAACGGACTTACTGCAAAACGTACTATATTATAACAGCGTCCAATGATAGCTAGATAACAATGATTGGAGGACTTGCTAAAAGAAGTTTGTCCGTCCTACGCAGTATACTATACCAAGATAAGTGGGTCAGCCAAGGTTACTGGAAAGCGATATTAGATATTAAAAAAATATAGCACTGTCGCCGTTTTACAAATAATTTTATGCAAATGGGTACCTGTCGTCCCAAAATTTGAATAAATCATACCTTTTTGGGGCAGCGACACTCGATTTAGCTTTCTTTGCCCGAACGGTTGGAATATTTATAGCAGTACTGAGGTTAAACGATTTTAACTTTCGATCCCTTACAACACCCTTTCATAAACGGTATTTATTTTCAGTGTCCACGCGGAAAACTGAGAAATTTGAAACGCAAAATCGATTATTTTCACGGTAAATAACAAAATTGTCGAACAAGTACAAGTGTTAAATCTGCGCTGATTTGACGAGTTACCTAACTTAACGGCGTTGTATGCTATATTACTAATGTTGGTAATAGGTTTTCAAAAATTGTTTATCCGTTCTTGTAGTGTAATTTCCATAACGTCACCCGAAATATATATAAGCTTTATACGGTAACTGGTAAGTGACAAGTGTAAATTGCAACTTAGCATGTACGGAATCACTCAAGGGTCCAACAGCTATGACGTTACGAGTATGCGATAATATTATTAATAGGAAATCGCAATATATACCGCCGTTTACCTCGGCGCTCTGATGATGACCCGAATTAACACTAAACCTTATAATAATATTATACAAATCGTTCAGCCCGTCTTTTAGCTCAACACATTTTGCAGTGCCATGTAGATTATGGTTATGATGGCGCAATTGGATACGGCAAACGACCCCGACGTCGTACTTCGAACGCCGTGTTGCATGGCCGCAGGTACTTCGGCTAAAAAAAAAAAAACAATAAAAAAAATAATAATTAAACGATATTATATTATGCATGAAAATCATTGTACGTACATATTATTGTAATTATTGTTATTAACGTTATTGCGGGTAAAGGTATTAATATTTATGGCCACTTTATACGGCCTTTATCGACACCTTTTAATTCGTTCATAACTTTCATCGGGCATGCGATACGGTGCCCCGGTTAATCGCTTTATTTACACGAAACGCATAAAAATATTTAATACGCCCAATACTGTTCATTATACATAATATATTATTATTATACATTAAATTATAGCAGTTTAATTTCTTAGATCCACTATACATGTACCGTGTATGGTCACTTTCAAATTGTTATCAAATAGCTGTTATCTAATTATTATTTTTATTAAGGAGATTTGTACAGGCAGTATTTAAGAAAAAGGAGGTTTAAATAAATTTCGACCACGTCAATTGATTTACCCGTTGATTAGTATAAGCTTCAATTTTTAATTTAAACAACTGTGTCTAATTGTTGTTTTTTAACTGTCAAAAAAACAGTATTATTTGCAGATTTAGTAAATCTTAGCATAAACACGCTATAACTTTGCGAAAATTTATTAGATCATATCAATATTTTTTCGGACGATTATTTAGAATGATATTATAGTAATTTTTGAACATTTATTAGGTTTATTAACACCAAAATCCAGAGTTCCGCCGAGAAGTTATTAGTGTTTAGGTGTTTTTATTTTTTAAGTCAACTTTGGGTGTATCTTATTTGTAAAACAAAAACTCTAAATGCCAGTTAGGTTAGGTGTAGGTTACAGTGCTGGTTTAGACTGTGGTTAGTATTCTATTAGTACTCTAGTTTTACCGGCAAAATCGTTTGCAAACTTTATGAAAATCGCCTTTCCCAATTTCTTAAAAACACCACTCCTGCATTTATTTGATATTACCTTATAATTTATGACTCCAAATATTATAAATTTAATAAATGAATTAAAATATTTCAAAATCAAACGATTTAAAAAATAGTAGCAGTAACATAGGTACAAACTAAAAAAAACTACAATTCAAACGAGGAAAAAAGGGTTTGAAAAATAAAATAAGTATCACAATTAAATAAAATAAATTTGTTCGTTCAAGGAAAGTCGTTATCTTTAATTAATGAGTATCATTCGAGGCTTTTTCCAAAATTGTAGGAATTTAGATTAATTTGTGCTCATTTGAGGATATTTGTCCCATGCCAACCCGGCATATATTTCACAGATCCATTTTCTCAGTGTGCATTTTTATAAACTAAACATTCTAAGGTATGTTTATTGCGATGTCATTGTGTTTAATATTTTCTTTTAGTATTTATTAAGTTGAACCTTTGCCGCATTGCATGTTTCTTCATCGTGTGAAAACGTTTGCATAATTACATGTCACTATAATATTATTATTACTAACAACGGCCGCGAAAAAATCTGCTAAAAACAAAATACAAATTTTAGCTCAAAAAATTCATTATTATATTTTATCATTCATTGCAACGAAACACAAATATTGTGTGAAACTATCTACTGAGCTCATTATAAATGTAGCTCCTCATCGTCGAGTCGATAAAAGCAAACCTCTAAAACTTAAAGAAGAATGTAATACAATTCTCAATAACAGCAACTAGAAAATAGAGTTCAAAACGAGTTTTGCATATCAATGATATTCATACATGCCGGTTGTACAGCATGTATTATTTTACACACGTGCCCATGAGAAACTTATAGTTTCGATAGAAACATTTACATAAATTCTCAGTGTTTTGTGAACCGTTTCATTGCACGAGAACTTAGTGGCAACGGTCACAATGTACAGCAGTCATATATTTTGTCCTCATAACTACAAAAACTTACAGTAAATAAGAAAAGAACAAAGGGGGGTTTTTTTTTAGAGGGAACCATCCGACTATTCGCTCACATTGTTTGGTTTGGCATTGCACGATATCCTTTAGAATTTATTAAAATATTACACAAATTTAACGTAAATTAGGTTATTTTGTTTTTGTTCGGATTATGTATTAGAAGGGCGTCATACCCTTTGAAAATAATGGCTTAAACGTGTTTAGGGAAAAGTGTGTAGGTCAAGGCGAAATGGTCATAAAAAACAAATGTTTATTCCGCTAAAAGGAGAAGAACTTTGACTAGGTTTTCTTGTCAGTTTTTTTAGAAAACTTGAATTTCACCTAAAATGCAAGAACTTGAAAAAGTAAAAATATGTCAGAATAAAAATATAAATTGTGAACGTTGGATTAATAATATAAAAAAAAAACTGACGAGAGAACCCAGATGAAGTTCTTAAAGATATGATAGCTGAAAAAACTGTTTAGATATTATGTTATGAAATCATAAAACACAAGTAAAATGTAAGAGGATGCAAAATATATGGATGATGTTTTATACTGAATGACAAAAATAAAAACCATTTAGCCAATTATAGTAACGAACTGGGTATACCGGATGAGTTATTCGAGGAACTTTCTAACCAAAATGCCCTTTAGGCTTGTTTTATGGTGTGAAGTTCTATAATATAAATTTTACAATTATTACTAACTTTAGGAACATATTAATTGAAATAAGTCCCAATGGTCAAAACATTAGAGATATACTTTTTTTTATAAAAAAAAAAACCTAAAATATATATTCTAATAATATATTATTTAGAACTGAGGTGAAGCAATATTGTGATAATTCTTTCATATTTAGTCAAACATTTTTTAATGAAAATTATGGAGCTCTGTTAAAACCCGTTTACATCTAAATTCTAGACTAAACATTATTATGCTTTACCTTAGCTTAGAAAACATTAACATTTATGTAAATTAATATAATAAAAATGATTATTGAATTTTTTGATGACGCTTTGCGAAAAAATCTGTGACAGTATTATAAGTACAAAAATAATAAATATATTTATTATCTTAACCCATTGGACTCAATACACACAGAAGACAGTGTATTTTATTTCAACTGTACATGTTTTTCTTGATATTCATTAAAATGATAAATTCTTGACCTAATGGAATTTTTTTCGATCTGTAAATGTAGTATTATATTCTTAGACTTTTAATGGGTTTTCTGAAAAGCTAAACTAAGTAAAACAATTTATTGTATTTTAACATTAATGTTAAAACTTATTGAATAAAAGCTTTCTGTGTTTTATTTTCGCATCTATTGAACACTATAACTGACAAATTGGCTATTATTTTGGAATATTTGCGTGGAGTGTAACACAGTTATTCCATTACAAGGACATAACTGGAAACATAAAATGTGTGTAATAAGAGATGATAATTCTAAGATGAGTAACGATATAACAAGCACCAAATTGAGGGTCTGCAGAAGTGGTCGTCAGTTAACGCAGTTTGGTCAAGCTGAAAATTGAACTCAGCTGGGAATCGTCAGATTTTCCACGTCACAAATTGCATGTGAAAACTGCTAGCAGATATCTTGATAATACGCCAAAGCCCAGAAATATATTATTATAATATAATACAACTTGATAATTAATTGAAATCTTGAATTAGTATATTGAAAGTGTATTATAAACAATGTCTGAAGAATAATGAAACTTGATGAATTTGTTAATTCCTTAGGATTAAGAATTTTAAATATTTATACTGATATTATTAGCAAAGAAAAATGGTATTTATGAAAATAATCACAATGATGATCGGTTTACTTTAAACAGCATTCTTCATAATTAAAATGTAATTCTATCAGAATTGATAGGATGTATTAATTGTTCCTGAAGTATTAATGAGTTCAGCGAGTTCAAACAAAAAATAAATGTATTAATGTAACACTCAATCGTCTACTTTTTTTTTGCCAAACACTAAACCAGAACTTTTACTAAATGGAATAACCTATGAGAGCATAATACCTCTAATCGTTAGATGACTTAAAAGTATAATGAACTGAAAATTGTATTTTATCCGTTCATTGATTGCGATCAGTCAACGTCCGTAAGGAAACAGTACGACCCTACTTAAGCGTTTAATTTGTCTTTTTTTATGCGGTCGCAGATTACATAAAGTGATGAATTGTTTCATTAAAAATAGGGCCGTAAGCCTACCATATATTTGCTCGGGCCTTACAAGACTTAGTATTGCGAAATATCTTAGCTACTTTTAGCGAAAAATAAATTACTTGTCTTAGTTGCCTACTCGAAAACAAAATTAGCTGACCAGGAATTGTGTTTATAATCTTACAAAACGGTCCCAGTGCGCTGTATGACCGGTTTGTGGTTGTAATAACTCTACGACCGAAGTTCAAACTTCACGAGCCATTCAAATACACTCATTATGGACCAAAAAATAAAAAATAAAATCCTTCTGTTATACAGTGAAGTCAAAGACATTTTATCAAGCCTCTGTAACGTTATCACCATCAACCTTCGTTATTCAATTACTTGTTATCAGTAATTGTTATTATTTTACGTTATTATTGTAAATAGTGTGTACAATATTTTCGGCACTATAATAATTTCGCCCTTTTGCATTAAGTTTAAACCAATCAAAAAACACAAATTTGAAAACCTATTGTTTTAATTTGAAGTACACTATCTGGTTTTATTTAATCTGTGTTAACACACGTTGTTATGTCCAAAAAAAAAATATTATTTATTTTAGACGATTAAAACATTTATAAATCGTTTCATTTTCTTAATAATATAAATGTATAAACAAATGAGTCGATTATTACAATTTAATACAGTAGACTTTTCTGATGTCTGTTCAAAATGACAAAAAAAAGTTTTTCAGCCGAGTTTGCAACCACGAACGAGCATTTTCATGTCTCGTTGAGTACCGAATAAATTTAGAGTAGTGGTGGAATTATAGATAATGATATAGTATATTAATAAGCGGTAACAAGTTAGTATATCAAAACGGCAAGTTTCTGGCTAAAATTGTAATGTTTATTATCTGGCTTAAAACAATTCATAGAGAAATTGGGCCCTTAAACTGTTTTGATTTTATTATTTAGTTCTAATTTGAACGTTGAACGTACAACCTAGCTCTTAGCTCCGATATCTTACCCCAATCACTAACCCCAAATCCCCTACCCCTATCCCACCCCCACCCCTTATCTCCTACCCCTATTTCCACCTCCAACCCATCTCCGTGTGGTAACGCTCTTTTGGTAACGCCTTTTTCGTTACGCTTTTTTTCGGTTATTTTCCATAGCTAATTCCACCCCTTTCCCATACCCACCTCATCTTCCACCCCATTTCTTTTTTGGTAACGCTTTTTTCGTTACGATTTTTTCGGTTATGTGCCAGAGCTAAGACATGAAAATGTCAAAAAGTGACCGATAACCATGGTTCAATCAAATGACGAGGCAACATATTATCTGGAATCGTTCCTTGCATTCAATTGTTTGTGTGTCAATTTCTATAACTCAATATCTGAAGGATCCGGTGCAAGATCCGGTCATCTACACTTTGTATTAAAAATAATTTTCTCATGGAAAAATTATACTCACATTGGAGCACGTGCACGTTGATGGTGGCCGGCGGAATATTTTGCGGTTGACACGTGTAATTGCCGCTGTCCGATGTGTTGGTGTACGGCATTATCAGGTCACTCTCGGTGCTGTTGATGTGCACGATAAGTCCTCGGTCCGTGTCGAAATTGATCATCCGATCGGAATGGTACCAAAATACGAACAACGGCGCTTGCGTCGATCCCCGAAGACGGCACACCAGCCTCAGACTACTGCCGCTCATTATGTACAGATCCGGTGCGCCCAGAATTTCCGCCTTGGCCACTGTCAGACACACAAAGCAAAACGGCCGATAATTATTTAGGTGACTTCCACGACGATGAACAACAATATGATATTACACACTCAACCCGCACACGATCAGATATGATTTAAAACCCTGTGAACGAGCCGCAACGAGAACTTTGTCAAAGTTCAAAACAGAAAACACCGTCGTCACAACGTTAGGTTTAACAAATATAAATGTATTGTAGATGCACGTTTTCAAGACAACGGCCATTGACGCGCAACTGGAGAGGGGCTAGGGCAAGTTAAGACCTTTTAAAAACTCTGAAAGCTCCCTCAGGATTTCAGTGAAAAATATAAACCTTACTCGGGGGCTGTGCTTGCGTGGTTGCTGACATATTCTTGAAGCCTGAACATGTTTAGAAGGATTTGAACTTCCCTAGCCACCACCTCTCCCCCATCTAGTTACGCCAATGACAACGAAACAAATTCTTCGCGTTATTTATTTTTTTATCAATTAAAAATCCATACACGTTCAATACAAAACACGTTGTCGCTCCAACGGTATTGAATGGCTATGCGTGGATTATGTAGATTGTGGCCATAAATAACGAATTAAATAAAAAACAGATTTAATATTTTGTTTCGTATGCAAATATTTAGACTGTCTACATCAGAGCAAACACAAATTATTGATTCCGGTATACTACGCACTATCAAATTTGTCGGTATTGCCTTTAAAGGCAGTATCATATTTTGATTTCCGTTCGACATTCTACTGGGTTCTCAAAAGCGAACAATAATGCATAATACCTAACTGTTGATACTCTTCTATATGTTATATATATATATATTTGTTTTTTGTTATGAGTAATCAAATAAAAACTACGTTTTTCGTAAGCTACATGTCATATTGATATAATAATTTTACAAACCTGTTACTTTGAGATGAACAAATATACTGGTTGTTGGATGTGTAGCGATTCTACATTCGTATAAACCAGCATCGGTTTCTTCAACTGGAGTTATTTCCAAATTCCATGTCTGTAAGAAAAAAATTTGCTCATATAGAATTATGTAATTTGGATAATCATAAGCTTCGTCAACATTGTAACACTATCACTATGGTGTTCTATAGAAGATAACTTAATGCAGACAAATGTTCCTTATCAGTTTTTCTCAACCAAATTTTAATGATAGTAATTTAATTTTACCACCGCGCTTACATTATCTTAAATGCAGGCAGGGTACTAAATAAACAGACGAGGTTACCAATTATCTAAACGAGGCCGTATACTGAACTGACTAGCCTAAGGAACTTGAATACAAGTTTGTGCAGAAAGGCAATCACGGTAAACAAGCTTCAACTGATAAACTATATTACTTAGAACTCTTTGAACAATGAGCAAAGTCGTTAGAAACCCTTATACTTTGCTTAATAATAATCATAACAATCACTGTAAAAAAATTAATGTAAGCCATTTTAAAAGTGTTCTATTTTAGTTTAGGAGAAATTCAGTGTTACGACATTGGACCACGGAACGATTGTTTATTCATTATAAAATAATTATTGAATTACTCCGTGTTTACAAAATTATTAAATAGACTATTTTGAGGAAAAGGTGGATATTAAAAATTAAGTTGACCTTTTTGTGTGTTCGATGCAATATTTGAAAATTATAGATTGTAATCTCTAATATATAAAAAAAAAAAAACAAGTAATAAATATAATAACAGCACATTAACTTCGGTGCACTATGTGTATGTTGAGTATACATTTGGCGTACACGGAAAACCGTGTTTCCAAAAACGCATAACGCACACCTGACCATAATAAAAGTAAGCTGTAAATATGTTAGGTACATATTAAAATATTTAATAACACGCAGAGGTAGGCAATATAATGTTTAGAGCGTAAAGATGATTATATCTATATATTTTTTAATCATATCTGAAACTTTCTACTAAATTATATTTTATAACAAACCGCGTATGTTGCACAATTAGCATTTTATATGAATCCATTTCGTTCGAGGGGAAAAATAAACATTGATAGAAAAATATATTATGTAAAAGCTACGATGCCTCCGAGTAGTTGAAATTTTAAATGTTATGTAATTGAAAAACAAAATTCACAATAACTAATAACTATACAACAATATAGTACCGTATATTTTGTATAAGCTATTTATGATTCAATCAACTCGTGATTTATAATATCGACGATTGTCGTAAAAGGTAAAACCACTGCACTCTGCATGGTATATTTGTTTTTATCAAAAAAAAAAAAAAATTAGCTTATAGCTTCTGGTAGACGCTAATTACGGGGAATTTACTTAAAATTTCAGAGTTTTGTTGTAAGTTCAAAAATACTTTTTGTGTCATATTTGGACACATGTTCACTTGTGAAGTTTTTTTTGGTATGCCACATTCGGCCACGTATGCACTTATAATTAAAATATCCGTAACATTTTCATTTAAGAGAGGAAAAATAGTTATAATAATATATTATAAAATTATACCCAGAATTGTACAAATTATTATTCGAACAAAAATTGTCTTCTCATATATACTGGTTTTATATAGGTAGTATATTATACGACATGATGTTTTAAAATATAATTACTTAAAAAAACACTTGTTTAACAAATATTATGTTAACAAATTATTCAAATAAGCTTTGTTTGGAATAATTCGAATAAAAAAAGATTTAAAAGATTATTTTTGATATTATCCGAATTTTTTTTTTATTCAAACTTTTACTTAAATAATATGATACCTAGATAATTATTTAGATAATGTTTTAGTCGAATGATACACAACTCTGATTATAACAATAATTAATAGTAATAAAATACAAATAAATCAAACAAAATTAAAATCAAACTACAATGAATAAATGTACACTATTTTAAGGGTAATCCATGCGAGACCGCACTTATGGTACATACTTTAAAATCAATATTATTCGTAAATTATAGGTTATATAATTTGGTAATTACATTTAACTTAAATTTAACGCCCAATTTTCCGTTTACCAGAATATTTTTAATGAAATTCACACGTTTAAACTTGTTGTTGTTATCGAAAATGCTTTGCACATGACTTTTACATTTCATACTGTTCCATGTTTTTTATTTTTTGGCCTAGAGTGCAGCACAATGTATCTATTTTGTGTATTTTTTTTTTTGAGCCAATCCGGTCATGCATGCAGTAGTGAGATATCTCCATAAATGTTTAACCGACAAATAGCTAAAACCTTTGACGTGGTACGATAATATTATGCAATAAGGGCCATATAATGAAAATAAAATGTATTATGATATTGTCATGAGACGTTCTATGCTCGGTTTGTTATATGAACATAATAACAATTATTGTGCGCTAATTTATAATTTTTAGAACTCTTCTGCCGATACAACGTCTTGTGGTGTTTAACAATGTCCACCTAGAATTTCTTTTTCAAACCGTTGTAAACGTGTTGTTATCATATTTTATAGTGGCACTCCTTTAATCCTTTTTGTACTCTCTCGTTTGGCTTTTGTCCTATTGTCAATGAGCCAACAACGGGAGGTGAACGAATTTATTTGCACCGTCTATTGACATGTTTACTACCAATCCGGAATGTTGATCGCTTTTATCGTTAATTACCCGGAAAATAATTATTTGATACGTTACAGGGATTCGAAAACGTACGGCTTGAGCGAAAAAAATGTGCCAAAGGCCAGTAAATCCCTGTGGGGGATTAAAACTGGCAAAATTCGGTAAACGAGTACCGAAGCGTTTTTATTGTGCATATTACATACAGCTATCTAGTCACAGTAGGTATTATTAAAAGAGTAGAACTTATAAAAAAACATATTAGCTTACCGTCGACGGTGTTATTATAAATAGCTTTAACGTGCGCCGTAAAGTACTTATAAAAATACAGAGCGCAATTTAATGTATTCAAGTAAAAAACGTCCGCCAAGCAGTCTGGAAGAAACTTAAATTTTCACAAAGGATATTAGAAAATACCTATTTACGAACTACAAAATCAATTAGCAAATTTTATCCGAGAAATAGACGGAAGTCGATAGCCAAGAATTTTAAAAATTTTAAAACCATTATCGTTTGTAACCATTATTAACATTCACAGGAAAACTTTGTTGTTAAATGCATTTATGATTCTCAAAACGTCTTTACAATATCAAACTCATAATTAAATGATTAACTAAAAGTAAGAACAAGCTGTTTTAAATCTTGAAAAAACAAATGATTTTCTGGAAAAACTATATCTTTATTTTTAAGCGGATTCAAAAATAACTCATCGTTAATAATATATAATAACAATTTGGACAAAATATATAATTTCGATATTATTCGAGAAATAATGAGCTCTAATTAAAAGTTTTTGACAAGTTCATATTAAGTACGGTTTACCCTATAATTTGTGTTGTTTTAGTATAATTAATTTTGGAACTTTAATGATGAGAACAAGCGATACTGATTTGCCCATTCATATAATAATAACCTGATTTAAAAAACATTAAGTTTCGCCATTCCGGATAAAAATGCAAAATGTTACACTGAGTTGGTTAAACATTACTAAATTACTTATTTTTTTAACTTTACATTGTTACAAAAAAAAAAGTAATATTATGACTTTAATAAAAATGTATAATGCGTCATTTAAAAGAACTCTGCGTCAACAATCACTTGGTATGTATTTAAACTAATGTTGACAACAATCGACAAAATAAATACAAATTTGGATTTCCTTTTGAATATAATATTTTACGCTTCTATGCAAAACAAAAAAACGTTAACGGTTCCGGCTTTTTACAACGGGAAACGTTATATTTTACACGTCATTTAACTTAAAATGAACCTAAACGAACAGCTAGTTAGATAAAAATACAATAACTGAATCAATGTAAATAATTTTTAATCACATTTTTTTTTTTACAAAAATATCAAAAGAGAGTGTGTACATTCCCTATCATATTATTATATTATTGCATTACCTTTAGATGTCTGGTGTGGTCGACGTAAAATCTCTTGTCGCTGCTATAACTCCTCGTCCCTATTGTTAGTATCGTGTAATCTATTCTTCTTATCCAAGACACCTGGAAAATTAATTTTATAAACCGTCAAACGTTGAAAAATAAATCGGCATTTGTTGAGGGATTAAACGAGACACGTTTTTGATATTTAAATTTTATACACAATACAAACATTTCCGGAAAATTTGGCCGATTCCGGTGCACTATTAAATTTTGGTTTTTTTTTTTTATTTTGATAGGTCGGCGTAGATTGAAACGTAATAAGAGAAATACTCGATGTGTTTTTTATTTTTTATTCAAACAACAAATGAAATTGTTACGGTAAAAATTCTGTTAATAAATAATTCACGTCTTTGATTTGTTAGTTTTCTTCAACAACTGTTTACCCGCGTGCACCGCCTAAACTGCGCAAGCACAATAGTAATATTATTTTGAAGTAGACTCGATATTTTTTTTATTCCGCTTATACTTTATTCTCAATCCATACGTGCCCTACCGAGAAGTATGTAAATTTAATAGCAGTTACGCAACGTCCCGTGGGAAGAGTGAAGATCTGAAGTGTGTGTGTGTGTGCCAGTGGTAGAATTATTATACAATGGACCTCGCTTCTCCCGTCCCGTCGGTTTTCTACCCTATGTATTTAATGTTGATGATGTTATGCTCACGTTATCTCATCTCTCTGCCTTTTTGTTTTTCGTGGCTGGTTTGACCCATATCATAATAGCACTAGACACGAGTAACAAGGCATTCGAGATACAGAGGGCAGTTTAATAAAACTAAAAATATTATACCCCGTAGCATGATTTTTTTAAAATATAAATAATTCAGCCTATTATAACGTTTAAAATTAACGGAATATTGTCCACAAGTTTAACGTTTCACATTGAATTACATAACTGAATACTAAAAAAATAGTAACGTGGAATTACTGTAAGTAATTGTTTTTTTCGACTTAAGCAAAAAAGTAAGACTTGACTTGAGCAAAAATTTTAAAAATCTCCACCATCACCGTAACAATATCGCTGATTTAAAACAGAACACAACGCCCGGTGTACTATTCTTTGGAAAACAAACTTATTATAAAAGAGAAAGTTGAATGAGAAAAACTTTTTGTTTTTTATATATATATATATATACTAATTTTTGTTTGCTTATTATTATTATCATTTTTGTTTTTTTTTTAATTTCACAACTCACACCGCATTTAGACTTTTGGTTTGGACTGCTGTCGCAACCACGTTATTTCCGCACTAGCACCGACGTGTAATAAAGTATCATGCACGCTACGGTCGTCTGTATAGAACTTAAGGAAACTTATATCGCACCGTTGGGAAGAAGAAAAAATAAGTAATTCCATGCGATGTTCACGAAGGGGGGGGGGAAGTAATTTATTAATGGCTCCAACCAAATGTACGTCAAGGGCTACGGTTTTGCTGCCGTGAACCAAGTTCTTATCACCAAGCGTTTAAGTACATTTTTCAGTAGGCTATCCGAATAAAATCGAAATGGAAAAGTTAAAAAAAAAGAAAAGATATTCCATACCTATTTACCATTTATACGTTGTCACTTAATATGTTATAATTAAGTAAACAAAAACTGTTCGAACGATATAATTAATAGTTTCGGGACCAAATTTACAATTCGTTTGGAATTAATTTAATAAGTAAAACCCAATCATGGTCATTGGCCGTTAACATTGTATTTATTAAGTATTGTACTTATACATCTTGTAAATAATGGCCAAGTTTTTTATATTTTAAATGGTTCTTGATATTTAAAAATAGTGCTGTAAAGCCTTAAAAAAATCGTCAATATTCTACCCAAATCTAAGATTTTCAATAAAATGAATAAATCACAGAATAACTTATAGTCTGCGTATTGATTGCATACTCATTATTCTACTATTTATATTTTATCGGTCCAATAATTGTAAAGGTGTGTGACGAAATAAGTATTTTAATTATTTTTTAAAATTGAATAAAACTAGGGAAAAGGTTTATTTCATCGGTGAGATAAATGGATTGCGTTTCAGTGCAATAATACTCTATTATTGTTTAGTATTTATTTTAAAAAAAGGTAGACATTTTTATTTACAGTTGGCCAATATTGGAATTAAGTATATTCAAAATGGCAGTTTAGAAAGTTCTACTTAAAATGTATTTAAATAAGCGGTTCTTATGATAGACGTAACAATATATAGACTTAAACAATACATAATATACATTGACAACAACACTATAACATTATTGGTTTCGGGATGGCTATTTGAACGGAGTTAATCTTTGTTTTGTTGAGGATAATATATTTGAAAAAGATAAATCGGTTTCACGAATAGTTAGTGTTTTAAATAAATTAGATGTCGGAAATGTAATTAACTCTCATTATATACATTCATAAACTCTGAAAGAATTTCTTTCTTTAAACAGTTTTTTTAGTCCTTCTTTGCCAACTGTTACTGACGTTGATGTTTATCGTCATTCGCGTAGTTCAAGTATAAACCGAAATATTGACTTTGCTAGAATGGTCGATTATTGGCATGAGATGTACTTACTTGGGAATTAATAACCAATTTATTTATTGATTGGATATAACTAATTTTGTAACCGTAATGGGCAGAGTATCACCAATGTGTTTAATAGGTGTTCGCAAGTAAACGGAATGTATTAAATTTTTTATTGCAGCAGTTTATCGAGGGCTCGAAGATTGAGAAAGAGAGAGAGAGGCGTGAAGGGAAGAAATAATGATTATTGTTATTCAAATTCGTGCTTTGAACTTTTCAATTGCCCACTTTAACCGCTATCGAGTGGAAAGTTACTGTTTTAATATCATTCGCAAATTCTTGGCCCCGCGTTAGCCGCACAGCAAATAATTATTTCCATTACGGATGTTGTTCGATAGCGTTAGCCAGCCGGACAATATTGTCGTAGTATTTTAAGGGGTTGAAATTCCCACGTTATACATACTGTCCATTGTACGCACATAGAGGTCAAATAAATATTTTTAATTGGTTTAAACCTAATGCAGTAGGGCCAAATTATTATAGTGCCGAAAATATTGTACACGCTATATACAATAAGAACGTAAACTGATAAGAACTACTGATAAAAAGTAGTTGATTAACGAAGGTCGATGGTGATAACGTTACATATGTTTGACGACATTTCTTCGACTACAATTGTAGAACAGACGGATTATGTTTGTTATTATTTATTCGGTTACTCTGACCTGAGGTTATTAAAGTTTATTTACATTATTCGATTTTTTTAGAGTGCACCGTCTGGTTATATTTAATCAGCAGTGTACAAACAAACAAACAAACAATGTTCTACTGTTACAAATAATTTTACTCGTTCTAGTAGAGTCGGTATAGAATCGCAAATAAAAAAGAACTACTCGAGAGCAAGACGTTATTATTTTTTTTTGTTATCGAGTGGGCAGCAAACTGTACTGTGCTAGCCTCGGGATTAAAAGTAAAAAGAAAATAGCCGCCACGAGCTTATCAGTTATTCCGGGCACCACTCGTACAAGCGCAGTTGATGTGGTCTTGAGTGGCCGAAAATAATCTTGATTGAACGGCTACGCCAAAACCTTGAGGTTGTTGTGGGGTGGAAAAAAATAAAAAGGTAATTTCCGCCCATAAAAGACCGTACAGTAGTGCAGTACATATCATACGGTTATATTCATAAGGTATTGAGGTACTCTCGATGGTCGGCCGGTAGGTACCAATAATGTAGAGGGGGTGTTGTGGGGGAGGGGCAGGGTTCATCTGTATGTTATTACCGTGAGCGGTTTTGGCGTGTGCACATATTCTGCGAAGGTGGGAAAGCGTTGTAAGAAAATGTTTGCATGGAGAAGAATCGCGGTTTTTGTATCGCGTGCGCTCGCATTTTGCCGACCTATCCCGGCCGTCGTGTTGCTCATATATTACCGTTACACACAATAAATAATAATATAATGATACATCAGATTGCCGTGAAAACGGTACTAATAATTAATTGGATCCGATACGGAAACCGACGTTTTATTATCCTCTATCGCGGATCGGCAATTATGGCCCGGCGTTCAAAAATTCGCAATTAAAACCCTCGAACAAAAAATATGCACACACTCAAATTGTTCTACCGCTTTTCCACTTCGGCTCGTTTCTAATCCCTGGCAATGCGGCAAAGCCAGCAGAGCAGGTGAAAAGCTCGCGGTATAACCGGCTACAGTTGCCCGGCCACCTTTTCGGCGTTCTCGTTGCGCATTCCGGACACGGCCGTATAAAAAGTTTCTTAATTTCTCTCGGTCATGGGGGGGGGGGGGGTAAAAGCCGAGGGAAAAAAAAAGGTGAAATACCCGACAAGTCCAACAATGAGTTTCCACCGACACAACCTGTCCATTGATTGTGGTAACACGGCTTTGTTAAAATTAAACGTGAAATTTGCGGGCGTCCTACTTTAAAAAATAATCAAAAATAATGCTACAGTTGATAAATATTCGATAAGGGCACACGGTAACATAACATCGTATTATGTTGTGTTAAATTATTCTTGACAGTTGAAAAAATTCAGCAAACTATAATATATTATAATATGTATTACTATTGAGCTTCAATAGTTGAAACACTTGAGAGGGAGTTGAAAACATAAAAGTTTGTGAAAATTTGATATCACGTACATAACAATTCACTTACTAATTAAACCCTCTATGATATATTGAATGGATCACTTAAAAAAGTTCACCCTAAATATAATATTAAAGTACATAGTGAGAACAACAAGTTTGTATATCAAATGGACAAGTCGACGCTTTAATACCTATAAAATAATATGTTTGTCAAACATTTGCGCTGTACGAAATTTGCTAAAATAGCGGAAGACACCCTGTACATTATGTTATTTCACTACCCTAAATGTTATAATTTTATATTACACCCAACTTTTTAAGATGAAGTGTTGGTTTCGAGATTACTTTTTAAAGTTTTTATTCTCTCGATCGCAAGGTTAAACACGGTTCACGGGGGAGACGGAAAAAGACGATAAGAAGATGACACGAGTGGGTCGCATTATATTATTTAAAGATGATGATTTATCACTTCCACAAAAACCACTCCGACCAAGAGCATGGAAGGAGCTTAAGTAAAATGGATAATATGCAATGAAATAAAATCTCCTAAAAGTTTTTTTCAAAGAATTCTCCGGGTGCTATTTTTAATTATAATATTACAAATATCAAATATTAAACTAAGATATACTTAATCTTAGGTTAATATTATGATCGACTGGGTTATTGTATCCGCGTTAGGTATGCGTGTTATGGTTGAGAGAACTATGTATTTGGGAAACACACTTTTAAATACAGTTAATTCCATACATAGCGAATTTGCTCTAAATTGTCCGATGATAATATTAGTTGTAATTTTAAAAATCTTTTCATCACAACGGCAGTGCTTTTGAAATTGATACTTTGGCGATAGAAACCAATTGAATTCGTCCAACCCGCTCCGATCAGACTCGTCGGTTTTACAAAAACGTAAACGCTGTTGGCATTGGTAAATCGATTTGTACACTATTTAAACAGTCCATTTGCGATGGACACTTTTGTAATAATAATATATCATGTCTAGACATTCGCCGCAATTTATACTGGCATTCGGTCGATTGAACTTTGGAGTAGTAACAGACAAGTTGAACCTGTTATTGGAATCATTCAATCCTCCTTAAGCGTCCGATGGTCACTTATTCAATAGTTTATTTAAGAAACTCTTCCCGGTCCACCACCGGTCTGTTTTTGTTTCAGACTATAAAAAAATCATTTGTAATTGAATAAAGTATTTTCGTAAAATAATTGGTTTGCTTAAAAACTTGATTGGCAATTAAAATATAATACAAGAGCACGCCGTTCTAACACTACCAACCCAGCAAAGAAATTTATTTATTTATTTAAATATCAACCTGAAAGGCAATTTACTTTTGTATGAACAAAATTGATTTCTCCCCCCTTATATTTTTATGTTGAGCTTTATAATATTCTGTAAGTGCGTACCTATACTGTTATAAGATAATTTAATTAAAAACAATAATTCGCTGATGTTGCACATTTCATAATAAAGCTATGTGCTCTGGCTTATAAGGTTTTGACAGTCGTGTAACCTCGATTTTCACATCCTATAAATATGTCATTTATTGCGAATAAAATACAAATTTCTACTATGTATTTCTCTATGTCATTTTTTACTCGTTAAAATTGTAACAATCCAGTAAACGAGTATTATATACAAAAGACCAACAAAATATTAATAAAAAATCATTGGAGCATATTTAACGGTAAAAAAAATGTCGAATGACTGACAATTCATACAGTTTATAAAAAAAAAAATAGTAACCGAAGAACATATTTAATTTACTTTTTATGTAATTGTATGCATTGTTTATTTCTTTTAAAACTACTACTTCTTCTTATAGTCGGTGGTCACCCCGATTTAACAGTCAAAACTTCTTAGTGCGCCCGCCTATTGTTTAGTGACTTTTTAATAATTGTATTTTTTACATTGACATTTAATTTTCGGTAAACCATAATTTTAGTAACTGTCGTTAAACGAACAATATAATTTATTGCTTCTTTTCGAGCCGAATTGATTAGAATCTGATTTTTATCAACATAGACATAGCCTAGAGGTCAAAATAAATTTTTTTTTAATTCAATCTGGTAACCTAATTATAAATTTTAATTTAATATTACTATTATTATTAAATTTACTCGTATACTCGATTTATTTACTCAATTTGTTTACTAATTTACTTGATCTATTTCTTCAGTTACTCGACTTGTTTACCCTTTTAATTACTTTATTTTCCTCAACTCGTCGGTGGATATAAATGTTTAACTGAAATATAACTGATTTTGTACAGTGTAGTTATAACATAATGTGTATTGTGTTGAAGGAAAATCTGTGGTTATTTATTGTAAACGTATGGGGCCAATGGTAATGACTACATTTTTCAATTTCAACTCCATACTATTAAAATAATAAAACGTTAATATGCCACATAATTAAACAAAATACAAACCTGTTTGTTCTTTCTACGAAGTAGATAGTACGAGTAGTCTGAAGAACGTGTGCATTTTTTGGGGGGTGTTTTTCTCGATTTTGAAGGGGAAAAGGGGGAATTTTTCGTTTCTAAAAAAATAAAAATTGCTTTTTCGTGCGCCCCGTTTGCTTACAACAATCACTCCACTTGACCCTATCATTTCACTGTACCGTTGTCGGGCCATAGTAACCGTGTTAAAATATCCAATCTCGGTGGTCACGCGGACCGGTAACGCTTAAACGGTTTTCCCGCAGAGCAGAGAGGAGAAAATAGAAGTTTTTTTTCGTTCCTTGTCTACATAACAAGGCCGTGTGTAGAGTTCGTACTCGACGGGGGTTTAACGTGGGCGTCGTCAGTTGTACCTACGGTGTACACGTTGTACTGTTATTATGTACACACGAGGAAAGACGGGAATCTCGTTAGGCTTTCTTCTCGGTTTCTTTTTCCATTTCCCACCTTTACATCCCACACCCACAGCTGTTAAACCCATTAAAACGCGTGTATAGCCCCAGTGTGTGTATACTTACAGTGGCCGTGCCGATCTTAGACGTGGCGCACGGCAAAATTGCGGTGCCGCCAATTTGCGACGTGACAATCGTGCCGTTCTCCGTCATGAACATGTTGCCCGGTTTGTCGACCTCATTAATCAGCGAGTTTCCCGAGGGATAGTCCCCGGCCGAAGATTTCGACAAATGACGCCTGTGGTGCAACCGCTGCCTTTTGTGGTGTCCCGGATGATGATGACCTTTGCCGTTTTCTCCTCCGTCTAAAAAAAAAAACGAAAGTCACATTTAACGTTATTGTGTTTTTTTTTTTAATATTGCTTACAATCATTTTTTCGGAAAACATAAATATCATGAAAATTATTTTTTCCCTATATGTATATGCACATGTGTGTACTTTGGAAATGTTTGCCTTGATCCCTCGTACGAAAAAAGAAGAAGGGACTCGGTTTTTTCAAATGAGGGAATACGTTATGTTTTTAATTCCATAAAATATAATATCTAGACAAAACGTTTTATAAAATATTATCGTTTGGGTTGTTTAGTTTTCATCGATGTTTGCTATGACTTTGTAAAGATATTTTTAAGATCAAGATTCGTTCGGCTTTTACAACGGCGGCATAGTAATTTCCCAATAAACAATACAATATTGTCACCGTCACTGTGTTTCAATAGGTATTATGTCAAAATATTTCATTTTATCTGGTTATCGGAGTTCTTGCCTATAGACGGACAATTTAAACATAATTGTGTATTTAATGTGCTACTGGAATTTGGCAAACCGAAGACATAGGTATGCCAATAATTATAGAGAGGAATGTAATACCTTTACAAAGGCAGAGCAAACAAATGATTGATGTAAATTTAATATTAAAACGCTAATATTTTTTTTAACATGTTTGTCTAGATGGTAATGTAGTTTAAAACATAAATTTGTAATGTATTTTAAAACATGTTCCTGTTTGAAAAAACGAGGTCCATACTTGCTTTACGTAAAACATAAGAAAGTAAAACGTTTTTAAGTATAGGAAAATTTACGGGTCAGGTGGGTACTGTTGCCTATATTAATTGTACATAATACACTCTTCTACTTTTTATACTATAAATATATGTTATGAATATTTTATTATGATTGGAATAGACTGGTTAGGTTTCGTATAATACCGAGTTATTTTTTATTTTTTAAAGCTGACAATTATTTTAAAACGCTAAATTGGGCTTGACACCTGTGTTGGAAGATAGACTTCTTCCGAGAATTATTTTTTATTTTTCTGAAATAATTTCGGAGAAACTCGAAAATCAGAAATAATAATATGCAAAAGTGGGAGACGTTCATAATATGATAATATTTCATACGTACGTCGGAAAATTTCACGGCAGGAAACTTACAATAGAAAACGCACTAGTAAACTAAAGCATAACGGTCTACATCCCCATTTACATACACAGTTAGGTACTCGCCGTTTTTGTCGTTCATTCAAATTTTCTACAATGGATTACAATGGATTACACCTACAAAGCTCTATGAATAACAATTACATCCGAATTAATTGTAAATTCTAATTAAATCGTATTACACCCGGTCTCACGCAGACTGGCCCTATATTAACCGGGTGGACGAGTACAAACGGGTAAACTGTCTAAACATAATATTATGCAATATTATTAATCAATCGGCTGTTTATCAGCTGTCTAACAGCTAAAGCGTTAATGCTAATTATTGAATTTAACTATCTGCAAATTGTTAAACTGTCTTGCAGCGTTGAATGCATGGATGGAGAGATTTAGAGAGGGCTTGGGATTATCAAAACCTCAAAACTTAAAACAAGTGGTACATATTTTATTTTTATTTCAACAAATCTTCCGCTAAAAAATAGATGCAAGTTTTAAGATTTTTAGTATCCCAAGCCGCCCCCCCCCCCCAAATCTCTGGGCAAACTATTATCGAACAAAGTGGCAGTATACGTCTTGCTATTCCCGAAACATATAGCTGTTAGTGAATAGTGTTTGGGTTAAAAACCAAGATTCCTACAGAGATATTTACATACTTGGTGTAGAGTATTATATATGAAGGGCACAGGGGAAAAACGGTAGTTGTCACATTATGACATTTTTTTTTTCAATTTATGCCAATAATTTTTTTTTATTTATGTCAATAGATTGTTTAAATAAATACATTCATTATTAGAGTAGCATTTAATGTGATATTTTCTGTTCATTTGTAAGAGATAGAGGAATTCACGAACTTTGTTTTTGCTATACTCGAAAATTTTCATAATGTGACAACTACCGTTTTTCCCCTGTGCCATTCATATTTTATTACTATTTATATTGTTTGCTAAAATTTATTTTGTGACAAATTTTTTTTTACAGCAACGGTTGTGGGTACCAACTTAATCTTAACGAATCCGTGACCGTGACCAAGTGATAATAATATGATTATTATTATTATTCATACCGACACCGCGCGTGAACGCTTTTGCTGGGTTATTCGAAAATAACGAATTCAGTCGTTTCCATTATTGAGCAGCGATGGATTAATAATTGAAACCGTTACGACCGGACAACCGCCATTGGAAGCGGCTTTTCTTGTTTGTCGATTTTCTCCCCGGCTGCTGTGTTTTAAATAAAACGGAATAAATTAACTATTTTCCCCCCGTCATTAATATTTATGATCGTTAAACGAAATGGCCTGTTTCGTATTGGCTGATTTTAAAATTGCAGGTCACTTGTAAAAAAAAAAAAAAAAACATTTAGATGTAAAATGTAATGTACTCGTTCTTGGACGATTATTGTTAGATAATAATATTTTCTCTATTCGTCAGTACCACAAAGAAATGTTCATTATTCATCTCTATGTCTGCCGTGCCCCGGTCGAATTCGATACCACGAGGAAGACGGTAAAAACAGTAAGACAAAGGAAACGCGATACCTCATGTATGTTAATCTTGGGTTTGCGCATTCTGTATTTTTTTCAAAACGAAACGTGATTTTGATACAAGTGTACATGTTGTTCAAAACGCTAAAGTATACAATTATTTAACGTAAGACGCTCATTTTCTCAGGAAAATAATTTCAGTTTTGTAGTTTTGATAACATTTTAATGTATTATGTGATTTTACAATATTATGAAAATACTAACTATTCGTCTGTTTTATTATTATTTTGCAGAGCACTAAAATTTTTGAAACTTAAACGGTATACGTGTGAGTTTAATTAATGTTTTTAATTCGGAATACATTTTGCTAAAAATGTTGAATGACGGATAACCAGTTTTGAATGACTACCTGTTTAATATTGACTAACGTTTAAAACGAAGGATGGGAGGAAGTATTATCGTCCTGAATGTTAAGCTTTAATAACTTCGAAAGTAATTATCCAAAACCGATTGTCGACCAGACCAGCCAAAGTGTTAAGCAGATTATTCTTAATTTAAAAAAATTAATAAAATATATGCATACGTTACGGTTTAAGTCTCAAAAGTTCATAGAGTTTTTGGAATACACATAAAGATAGAAATATGAATGGTGTTTTTAAAAAATTGCAATTATTTTAAGAGAAATGAGTCTCAATCTCAATTTGTGTACTGTATTATTGTTAAAATGATGTATTTGTGCGCGTTAAAACCAAAACGGTATTACTTCCCAGCGATTCCTAATCGGGTGACCAATCAACGCGAGTAAAAGTTATTTTTACCAAAAAGCACTACTACTTTTGCAGTACTGAGAAAAGTATAGCAGGTGTATCAGGTACTCGTGCGTAGGCCAGAAAGGATTATAATAATAATAAATCACAAAGAAGCTGTCGCGAATTTCATACTGCTTTATTGCGGCGTCTTACTCTCGAACACGGATCCGGCATTTGCTTCTCAAACCATCGTACAGTAATATCGTCTGAACTTCAACGGGTAATAAATAATTTCTTCTACCTGCAGCAATGTCCCGTGTGTATGACTACCCACGTGGTACGTGAGCACATGCTCGTGGGCCGTTAAATGAAACAGGGTGGTTCTTATTTTTTACGAGCACTCGTCCTCGATAAAAATATAATCTTACCCCTTTCTGGTTTATATAGAAAACGTCTCGCCGGCAATACCTGGTCGGTTCCATATATTTTGTTAACGTTTATATACTTTTTACGCCTGTAAGCGAAGTTGGTACACAGTATGTCCCATAGCGGCGTAGAACATTTGCCCACATCAACTATAATAGTAAAAAAAATAATAATGTTTTAGATGAATCCATATTATCTACAAGTCTCCAGCGTGTTTTGAAAAATTGAACTCGGCTAGTGCGTTTGGCTTTTGAGATACATTGAGTTCGTCGGTTTTCTTATGTAATAGTGGTTCTTATTTTGCGAATGTCTGTATTTAATTCAAGACATGCTTCGATTTTATGCGGTTGGATGAAAATAAAAATATACCCATATAGATTTTTGGGACCATTCGGATGCCTTTAAGATGATATCGATTAGATGATAATATTAACAATGCTTATACCCGGCTAAAAATCAATTAATACCGATAAGTTGTAACTTTTTAACACAATTTATGTTACATTCATCTTAATTGCTTAATAATCTATAATTGATTTGTCTAAAATTTTAAATTGTATAAATACTTTATTCAATTGTTTCAAATTTATTATATAATATAAAAAAAAAAGTATAGGAAGCAGGTATAAAATGTCACTATATTCAGCCCACAAATGAGACACAATATTACCTAATGTTTTAAAATAAAAATTATCTTATTAAAACATTATTTATATATATTTTTTTTTGGGTTTCTACTAAGTAAGATACGAGAGACATTTTGTTAGTTTCTTGAAATATCTATGCAACTACAGGGTGATCTATTTATCGCAAACCACTCAATATCGCTTAGAATGTAATAAGAAATTAATTTTTTTTTTCCATAGTATTTTTTTCAATGTGATCTAAATTTTTTGTATTGTTTTTAATCCCCTACCAACTAATTATTTTTATATCAACTTTTGAAACTTAAATGGTGTAACGTATATATTTTATTAAAAATGTTGAATGTTTGATAGCAAAATAACTAGTAAAAAAAACAATTAAATTATTAATTAAACCTAATGAGATCAAACTGTATTGGAAAAGATTTTTCTAATGATCTTCTAAAAATTACCAAGTTTATTTTACAAAAATAAATCACTCACAATAAGAAACCGAGTAAGTTTTCTCTTACTTTCTTTATAATTTATTTCAGTTGTATAATATCACAAGTCACACTGTCACAAGC